AAACACATCCTTACTTTTAGACTTTGCAAAACGTTCGTCTGTGACGAGTATTTGAAAAATAAACAAGAACTCATTGTATACATACTGTGTGAGTCGCCCTTGCGTGATGCAGGTGACACGTGTTCTCTGCAGCTGTTGCACATGCGCTGCGCTCTGTCGCCATCTGATCTTTACATGGTACAAGGCTCTGTACATTTTCGTGTGAGTGAGTGAGTTGGGTTTAACGCCGCTTTTAACAGTATTCCAGCTATATCACGGCGTGTCAGCTTAATGTGGGAGGAAAGCCCGAAGTGATGCAGGTCTCAAACGTTTACCACTTCGGTGAAACCCACGAGCACGGGTATGGTGCTGACAAACCTAGAAACATAATTGGGGCGACCCGGGATTCGAACCCACAATCATAGGTTTCTGGCGTGCTCAAGGGACGCAACTCTGCACAGCGAATAGCGGCGCCTTAAACAACTGGGCCACCCGTGCCCCCACATTTTCCTGTGACCCTAAACAGGTATTTTATCTGTCACTTGAATTTTTAAAATATGCTGACGGAGATTACACGAAATCTAATTACATAACATGACAATCGTGATAGGATACATGATGTAACACAACGTTATACATAAGCTTTAAAGTGAGTGAGTGTTGAGTTGGGTTTAACGCCGCTTTGAACAGTACTCAGTTATGTGTCGGCGTGCCAGCCTGATGTGGGAGGAAAGCCCGAAATGATGCAGGTCCCAGACGTTCATCACTAGGGTCACACACGGGTATGCTGACACACCAAGAATTATTATCAGGGCGAACCGGGATTCGAACCAACGATCAAAGGTTTCTAGTTTGTCCAAGGGGCGCAACCCTGTACACCGAATTGCCCAGAGATTGGCTTTTAAGGATTATACAAATATTTGAACATATTTAGTTCAATGTGGTTCTTTCATTTGTCGCCGTGGCCGAAGTTGACGCCAACAATACTGCAAATCATACGATGCTGATTCGAACACCGCTTGCGACAAGATATGATATAGTTCCGCTTATTCCTGGTGTACATTGATTTAGGAATGGATATCTGACAAACAAATTGTCCATTCATGAAACACAATGGATCGTTTACACTAGAGTAACGTCACAGGTTAGTTTAAACCATATTCATGTACAGAAGAGAATTTATCACTTCAAAATGCCTTTCAAAGACTTGATGTTCCCGTATATGTACTGTCTTGAATCTTGACAGCCAATACAGTGTTCAAATACAACCCTGGGCTCTCAAACGTTTGTATTGAACATCCTGCTAAAGTATTAATGATATGTAACTTAATACATCGATATAGATGCTAGTACAAACATAGCTGAGAGAACTGATTCGTTGTAACCCTGCTGCATCTATTCATGGACAGTTTTTATTCATTCCATCATTATTGGGTATATAACTAAATTGATTAAGTATACGACAGGCACCTTCACACATTAGTGTTTATTCCGTCGTTAATGCGTATTTCTAAGACCCCTAATTTCGATTATAGGTTGAACTTACAGTTTGAATTAATCGAGCCTGGACCAAACAATCAAGTAATTGACATCATGAGCATCGATACATGCATTTAGGATACGATAGCATGCATCAAATAAGTCAGCGAGCCTGACCACCCGATCCCGTCAGTCGCCTCTTACGACCATTTTGGGTTGCTGAAGACCTATTCTACCCCGGATCCCAGGCAAAACCTTGATTCATCTGTTTGTTTGTTGTTTTACGCCGCACTAAGCAATATTCCACCTTTATGACGGCGATCTGTAAATAATCGAGTCTGGACCAGACAGTTAAATGATTGATATCATGAGCATTGATCTACACAATTGGGATCGATGACATGCTTCAACCAAGGCAGCGAGCCTGACCACCCGATCCCCCTGTTAGTCGCCTCTTTCGGCAAGCATAGTCTCCTGTTACGGCAAGCTTGGGTTGTTGAAGACTTATTCTACCCCGGATCTTCACGGGTGCGTCTTTCAGGCGGAAAGCCCGGGTTCGACTTTGTACATGGGTACACTGTATGAAGTCCATTTCTGGTGTGTTCCGCCGTCATATTGTTGGAATATTGCAAAACTCGGTCGTTATAACCATATTCACTCACTCACTTAAGATCCTAGAAAGAAGCAAAGTGGTATGGCAAGAGAACCCTTGTTTCTCAGCTGATGACATGAAGAGAGTCGAAATTGGTGATTTGTTTTGGTTACTTGTTACAAGTGAACATTTCACGTTCGTGACACAAATGTATCTATTCCAATCAATATAGCAACTGGAAACTAAGAAAAGGCATCTCACGTATTCCGTAGAGATACTTTATTTATCTACCATCTATTTATTTACCAAGACACCAAAGCCCCCATACTGATCATGGTCAAAGAATTGTCATGGTCAACTGTGAATCGGGGCAAAACCTTGATTCATCTGTTTGTTTGGTTTGTTTGTTTTTTTACGCCGCACTAAGCAATATTCCAGCTATATGACAGCGGTCTGAAAATAATCGAGTCTGGACCAGACAGTTAAGTGATTGATATCATGAGCATCGATCCACTCAATTGGGATCGATGACATGCTTCAACCAAGTCAGCGCGCCTGACCACTCGATCCCATTAGTCGCCTCTTATGACAAGCAAAGTCGCCTTTTACGGCAAGCATTGGTTGCTGAAGATCTATTCTAACCCGGATTTGTCTGTAAACATGGTGTTATGCCATTGGTGCACAGTCCGTCCCTACTGCTGCCTAAACCACCCCAATCGTTGCCGCCTATGGTAAGTTATTGCGGTCACCTCCTTCACAGGACGCCTTGCAGTCAAGTTGGCTGAAGTTAACGGTAGATGTTGATATTCGCCTTCCTGTTATTGTACGGAATTCTCTAATGATAAGAGCAGCGGTTGTTAATCTATTGGCGTAATGCAAATAATGAGACGATTTTATCTAGGTGTCGTTTATAGGAGGCCTGTCACGTCCAGGTATCATTGCAACTCCAACCGTTTGACGGTACTTGTCCCACAGTCGGGAAATTACACTTTTTGATTTGCCAAACATGTCGGCAACTTGGGATATGAAGGTCCTCCATCTAATGTACTGTTCGATGAGATACTTCGCGGAGGCATTTTTATATAAACGTGTACTTAGCTCAATTACATTAATGATTGTGAGTTCCCCTAAAGGCACACACGCATTGGCGTCTATGTGCACGTGCATGACGTGTGATTCATGGATGATGTGAAATTTCAATCCGATTGGAGTAGGTTGGGTTTATCGCCGCTTTTACCAGTATTCCAGTTATATCACGGCGTGTCAGCTTAATGTGGCATTCGTGACCAACTCGTGTTATTCCGGGACAAGCCGAATAGCGACTTTCGTGGCCATATTTGCGATCGGATTCCGTCTTTGCGCAAACGGGCATACCTAAAACAATAGTCAACTCGTTGCGCAATGGTTCACACATTTTCCCCATATATACATAATATATATATTTCAGATGCAATTTAAAGCACATCGGGACGTGCGGAATTATACAGTATGATTTAACACATTTAACTTTTTCTTTGGTATATTTTTAGATGCAAGACATATGTAAAATCAAAAATTATTTCTGAGGGATTTTTTGACGAAGAACTTGAAATCATACGCGCTTTCTGATTGGTTTGTCGTATTTTCGCACATAACATTCATCATTTGGGGGACGAGTCTTCTTGCAGGTTACGGAAAGGGGCGAGTGGTGACGAATGCTTAATGTGGCAGGAAAGCCCGAAGTGATGCAGGTCTCAAACGTGAAACCCACGAGCACGGTATGGTGCTGAAAAACCTAGAAACAAAATCGGGGCGAACCGGGATTCGAACCCACAATCATAAGTTTTTGGCGTGCCCAAGGGACGCAACTCTGCTAAGCGAATCGCGGCGCCTCAGACGACTGGGCCACCCGTGCCCCCCGTTCAGATGCAACGGGTTTTTTGCATTAAACATTCAAATCTGACGTCCCCTACGCGGATTCATACAGTTTGTACAAAGGTTTTTCGATTTATACCTCAATGAACCGACAAAAATACACACTGTCAATCCTTAATTTCAACCCTTATACACGAAACATGAGCACTATCTGAGAAAACAGTGTTATCATAAATGTTATATTTGCCACACTCGTTTGCCAGAGTTTCAGGGTTCCATGGTTTATTTGTAACACATTTCTGAAAAGTGTATGGGTTGGTTGGTTGGTTGGTTGTTTAACGCCGCATTCAGCAATAATCCAGCTATATGACGGCGGTCTGTAAATAATCAGGTCTGGACCAGACAATCCAGTGATAAATATAATCAACATCGATCCACACAATTGGGATCGATGACATGCATGAACCAGTCAGCGAGCCTGACCACCCGATCCCGTTAGTCGCCTTTTACGACAAGCATAGTCACCTTTTACGGCAAGCATGGGTTGCTGAAGACCTATTCTACCCCGGAATCTTCACGGGACGGAAAGTGTATGGGACATGTAGGTAATAAAAATATGCCCTTCTGGGTAATTGAAAAGATATGCATTTCTATTTTTTACAACAATTGCTTATAACAGGTCACATTTGGCTCAGTAGGTCTTAAAATTCTCGACATCTTGTAACTTGTTCAGTTTAACAGCAAACATTGGTTGCCGAAGACCTATTCTACCCCGGATGTTCCCGGGTCTGCTACTGCTTAAGCAACAACAACAGCAACTGGTCCAACAACCTTATCATTCGTTTCCTTGGATACAGGAATCACAGGAAACAGGGCATCTATGGACTTTTTATTACATCCTGTTAGACCTGTGAAGATCCGGGGTAGAATAGGTCTTCAGCAACCCATGCTTGCCGTAAAAGGTGACTCTGCTTGTCGTAAAAGGCGACTAACGGGATCGGGTGGTCAGGCTCGCTGTCTTGGTTGATGCATGTCATCGATCCCTATTGCGTGGATGGATGCTCATAATATTAATCACTGGATTGTCTGGTCCAGACTCGATTATTTACAGACTGCCGTCATATAGCTGGAATATTGCTGAGTGCGGCGTTAAACAACCAACCGAACCAAACCAAAACATCCTGTTATGTGACACTTTCTTGAATGTCGCAGCGGCTCTGGAGTAAATCTGAAAGGAAGCCAGTTTGGATGATAGGTATTTCTGAATCACATCACTACATATTAAGAGGAATGTAAGTGAACTTGTAAAATTATTCAAATGTTTGTACATTTAAAAATTATACGTGACGTGTTGTGTAAATGTCCTACCTTAGAAGAGTTTTCCACCGACCTCAACTTCGCAGACTGTGAGAACTTTTTTATTGGGTTTTATGTATTGTAACAAAACAAAACGACCCGTTGTCGAGGGGTTGCAGGTCAGAACGTCAGGTCTTGATAGTTTTCCTTTCTTTTGTGCACATGTCATCGGTTGAGAGCTGTTGTTCTCGAAGGGGTTTTCTTTAAATACTAGGATTTCCAGGTCACGGAATTTGTTAGCTGTTATTACAATACAATACTATACCATTATGCATATCAGAAAATAATACACAAAGGTCAAAACAAGATCAAACTTGACAATTTTAACGAAAGATGTGTTGGATCCCACTACTAATTAACAATGGCCATAACTAGTCTTTTTCTTTGCATGTTTCTCTCAACTATGATGACATGAAAAATGTTGAAGTTAAAATATAATTTTCAATATTGCCGCAAGAACTGCACTTATTTGTTTGTTTGTTGTTTAACACCGTACTCAGCTATATATGACGGCGGTCTGAAAAATAATCGAGTCTCGACCAAACAATCCAGTGATTGTCATCATGAGCATCAATCCACGCAATTGGGATACGATGACATGCAACAACCACCCGATCCCGTTAGCCGAAAGAGATTTGACCGTCGTCGTAGAGCTGAGTGCAGCGTTTAGCAACAAACAAACAAATAAACTTTTGAATAATTGCAGTTCTGGCGGCAATAGTGAAAATCAGATTTTCATGTCATCATAATTGGGAGAAACATGTGACGTTTCAGCTTCAATGGTCCAGTGGAGGACCTGATGTTTACTGTGCCAAAAATGCAGTTTCGAATTATGGAGATCATGGCCCAAATGCAAGAGTAAAAAATATATAATTTAAAAATCAGAACATGAAATGTCATTTCAGATCAATCAGAAATTTCGGAATAATTGTCGTGAATACAGTTGTCTAAAATGGCTCCCAATGTACCTCTGGAACAATTTGGTAACTCATCGTTGGGACAAGCCTGTATATTTGAGCTTTGTTGGTCCAGTGGCGTCTGAGGAAATTATGTTTACATTGCGAGGAAAGGCATTTTGAGAGACATTAGGATTACATGTGAAATTGAGGTCGGAATGGTAAGTATATTGCTAATAATTGCTAGTGGCTGTAACAAAATTATTTTTTTCAAAATGGGTACTATAGCAGCGAAAATGCGATTCAAACCTGGTGAACAAGTACAAGGTGAAATCATTGGTTGAGGGGGTGGGACGCAATTTTGGGAGAATTTAAGAGGCTCTCACGTAATAAAGGAAACTGGTCTTGCTTCAACTGTCAATGAGTGAGGACCTCGAAGAATTTGCGATAAATGTGTTCCAAATATTTCAGCATCTACACTGTTCCCGACGTGATATTGCTGATTTGTGTAATGAGATATTGTGTCTTAAATAAATACATGTCTCCCCTAACGGCACTTGGTTTAATTCTAGCACATATTTTGTGTAAGCATTTATATTTCAGCATCTGCACTGTTACCAATGTGTGTTTGTTTGTCAAAAATGTGATTTATGTATCGAGATATAATGTCATAAACAAGAACATATCTCCCCTAACACCACTTGGTATATTCTATGTGCAACGTTTACGATATCATGCTATATAGATATAAAGAGATGTTTTTGAAGCACATACCGTGTCCACCCGTCCGTCCATAAAGGGTGACGTTATGTACATCATAGATATCCTGCAAGTCAACCATCCACCAAGGTCTCGACACAGACTTAGCGGAAGTGAAGCATTGACCTCGTCTGCGATAGCCGCCCTTGTTACCATCAACCACATGGTTAGGATTTGAATACTTGTCATAATCTGTACATCCGTATGTTGGTTTCCTTAGGGCCAGATTGCTGACGTCATTGGTCTTCACCAATATCGCTGCTGGTTGAATATTAGGCCATTAGAAAAATCCCTAAAATTTATTCAACCCGCACATTTTAAGGAACAACCAAATTTCTATCACAAATCATTAATTAGGGAAAGAAGATGTTATATAAAAAAAACCAAGACAAAATCAGATTGAAGACATTCTACAATGCCTTGTCAAAGTCTGCTCCAAATAACTCCCAATTCAGTTTCCCAGTGTTTATAGTTGTTGGGAAAGTACTACCCTGTTGCGAATCTAAACAAGATGTCAGCCTCCATGTCGTCTTCTTAACAGTGGAAAAATATTTTATTTTCTACTTTGTTGCTATTATGACTGAAAGTGAAAATCATCTAAATGGTGAGTAAAAGTTACAGTTTGTGTACAACATTTGGTACAAATGAATAACTATGTTGATCATTTTACTATTTATGATTCAAATGTTCACTAATGTTTGGTTGGTTTGTTGTTCAACGCCGCACTCAGTAATATTCCAGCTATATGACGGCGGTCTGTAAATACTCGCGTCTGGACCAGACAATCCAGTGATTAATATCATGAGCATCAATCCACGCAATTGTTTGTTTCACGCTCCACTCAGCAACATTAGTTATATGACGGCGGTCTGTAAATAATCGAGTCTGGACCAGACAATCCAGTGATTGACACCATGTGCATCGATCCACGTACATGTAACTGGGATCGATGACATGCCTGACAATCCGATCCCGTTAGTCGCCTCTTAAGACAAGCATAGTCGCCTGTAAGGCAAGCATGGGTTGCTGAAGAGCTATTTCACCCCGGATCTTCACGGTTCCATTAGGACAAAGGTTTGGCATCTTAACATGTGGGACAAATGTCATACAATCACAATAATAAAATACTCACATTAACAGGCACATTTCTTTTCAAATATATAACACTGTTTTAATGAGCTTAACATTCTTCGTTTTAATAGCATGATAGATGCACTGAATAACCGTATTTCTTAGTTCGAGTACAGAATATGTAGATATAAATATATCTTTAATAGCTCAAGTTTTTCACAAGGCACACTAAGGAAACCTGTGATAACGTTTCTTTACCTGTTTGTGTCCTGCATCAACAGTTAAACCCCCAACATCCCCTGTGTAATGCATCAAACACAAGACTAATCCCTCAACAAGGAAGAGATTTATACCATATAACACAATGAAACTATCACATAAAATTAAACATTTAACATGCATATTGAATTGTGTAGTTTATGCTTTGTTCGCTAGGTGTGCAAAGTCCTACACATAGTGCTAGTCTTTCTAGGGTTATGTGATTACACACAATAAAGTGGAATTCAGCTTGAATAAAACAAAGTCGAAACGAAAATAAAAATAGAACTTATACAGAGGAATTTTCGTCAAATTTATTATTCTACTGGAGCCGTGTTGTGTTGTTTCATGAAAAAACACAAAATAGTTGATATATTTAAAATTATAGATTACTCAGCTCACATACAGACGAGTTACGTTGTTCGCTGTTAATGCCTTATACTTATGTTTCAATAAGCATTCTCTGTCAATGGGATGGATCCGAAATGCACCCACTAGATTCCCACTTCCATGCCACTGACACGTTATACAACACAACATACCGATATTCTGAACACATATTTTAGCAAGTGAGTCGCTGTTTCCATTTCCTACCTTTCCTTCCATTGAAGAGTTTTCCACCGACCTCAACTTCGCAGACTGTGAGAACTTTTTTGTTGGGTTTTATGTATTGTAACAAAACAAAACGACCCGTTGTCGAGGGGTTGCAGGTCAAAACGTCAGGTCTTGATAGTTTTCCTTTCTTTTGTGCACATGTCATCGGTTGAGAGCTGTTGTTCTCGAAGGGGTTTTCTTTAAATACTAGGATTTCCAGGTCACGGAATTTGTTAGCTGTTATTACAATACAATACTATACCATTATGCATATCAGAAAATAATACACAAAGGTCAAAACAAGATCAAACTTGACAATTTTAACGAAAGATCTGTTGGATCCCACTACTAATTAACAATGGCCATAACTAGTCTTTTTCTTTGCATGTTTCTCTCAACTATGATGACATGAAAAATGTTGAAGTTAAAATATAATTTTCAATATTGCCGCAAGAACTGCACTTATTTGTTTGTTTGTTGTTTAACACCGTACTCAGCTATATATGACGGCGGTCCGAAAAATAATCGAGTCTCGACCAAACAATCCAGTGATTGTCATCATGAGCATCAATCCACGCAATTGGGATACGATGACATGCAACAACCACCCGATCCCGTTAGCCGAAAGAGACTTGACCGTCGTCGTAGAGCTGAGTGCAGCGTTTAGCAACAAACAAACAAATAAACTTTTGAATAATTGCAGTTCTGGCGGCAATAGTGAAAATCAGATTTTCATGTCATCATAATTGGGAGAAACATGTGACGTTTCAGCTTCAATGGTCTAGTGGAGGACCTGATGTTTACTGTGTCAAAAATGCTGTTTCGAATTATGGAGATCATGGCCCAAATGCAAGAGTAAAAAATATATAATTTAAAAATCAGAACATGAAAAGTCATTTCAGATCAATCAGAAATTTCGGAATAATTGTCGTGAATACAGTTGTCTAAAATGGCTCCCAATGTACCTCTGGAACAATTTGGTAACTCATCGTTGGGACAAGCCTGTATATTTGAGCTTTGTTGGTCCAGTGGCGTCTGAGGAAATTATGTTTACATTGCGAGGAAAGGCATTTTGAGAGACAATAGGATTACACGTGAAATTCAGGTCGGAATGGTAAGTATATTGTTAATAAGTGCTAATGGCTGTAACAAAATTATTTTTTTCAAAATGGGTACTATAGCAGCGAAAATGCGATTCAAACCTGGTGAACAAGTACGAGGTGAAATCATTGGTTGAGGAGATGGGACGCAATTTTCGGAGAATTTAAGAGGCCCTCACGTAATAAAGGAAACTGGTCTTGCTTCAACTGTCAATGAGTGAGGACCTCGAAGAATTTGCGAAAAATGTGTTCCAAATATTTCAGCATCTACACTGTTCCCGACGTGATATTGCTGATTTGTGTAATGAGATATTGTGTCTTAAATAAATACATGTCTCCCCTAACGGCACTTTGTTTAATTTTAGCACATACTTTGTGTAAGCATTTATATTTCAGCATCTGCACTGTTACCAATGTGTGTTTGTTTGTCAAAAATGTGATATATGTATCGAGATATAATGTCATAAACAAGAACATATCTCCCCTAACACCACTTGGTATATTCTATGTGCAACGTTTACAATTTGATGCTATATAGATATAAAGAGATGTTTTTGAAGCACATACCGTGTCCACCCGTCCGTCCATAAAGGGTGACGTTATGTACATCATAGATATCCTGCAAGTCAACCATCCACCAAGGTCTCGACACAGACTTAGCGGAAGTGAAGCATTGACCTCGTCTGCGATAGCCGCCCTTGTTACCATCAACCACATGGTTAGGATCTGAATACTTGTCATAATCTGTACATCCGTATGTTGGTTTCCTTAGGGCCAGATTGCTGACGTCATTGGTCTTCACCAATATCGCTGCTGGTTGAATATTAGGCCATTAGAAAAACCCCTAAAATTTATTCAACCCGCACATTTTAAGGAACGACCAAATTTCTATCACAAATCATTAATTAGGGAAAGAAGATGTTATATAAAAAAAACCAAGACAAAATCAGATTGAAGAAATTCTACAATGCCTTGTCAAAGTTTGCTCCAAATAACTCCCAATTCAGTTTCCCAGTGTTTATAGTTGTTGGGAAAGTGCTACCCTGTTGCGAATCTAAACAAGATGTCAGCCTCCATGTCGTCTTCTTAACAGTGGAATAATATTTTATTTTCTACTCTGTTGCTATTATGACTGAAAGTGAAAATCATCTAAATGGTGAGTAAAGTTACAGTTTGTGTACAACATTTGGTACAAATGAATAACTATGTTGATCATTTTACTATTTATGATTCAAATGTTCACTAATGTTTGGTTGGTTTGTTGTTCAACGCCGCACTCAGTAATATTCCAGCTATATGACGGCGGTCTGTAAATACTCGCGTCTGGACCAAAAAATCCAGTGATTAATATCATGAGCATCAATCCACGCAATTGTTTGTTTAACGCTGCAATCAGCAACATTAGTTATATGACGGCGGTCTGTAGTAATCGAGTCTGGACCAGACAATCCAGTGATTGACACCATGTGCATCGATCCACGTACATGTAACTGGGATCGATGACATGCCTGACAATCCGATCCCGTTAGTCGCCTCTTAAGACAAGCATAGTCGCCTTTAAGGCAAGCATGGGTTGCTGAAGAGCTATTTCACCCCGGATCTTCACGGTTCCATTAGGACAAAAGTTTGGGATCTTAACAGGTGGGACAAATGTCATACAATCACAATAATAAAATACTCACATTAACAGGCACATTTCTTTTCAAATATATTACAATGTTTTAATGAGCTGAACATTCTTTGTTTTAATAGCATGATAGATGCACTGAATAACCGTATTTCTTGGTTCGAGTACAGAATATGTAGATATAAATATATCTTTAATAGCTCAAGTTTTTCACAAGGCACACTAAGGAAACCTGTGATAACGTTTCTTTACCTGTTTATGTCCTGCATCAACAGTTAAACCCCCAACATCCCCTGTGTAATGCATCAAACACAAGACTAATCCCTCAACAAGGAAGAGATTTATACCATATAACACAATGAAACTACCACATAAAATTTAACATTTAACATACTTATTGAATTGTGTAGTTTATGCTTTGTTCGCTAGGTATGCAAAGTCCTACACATAGTGCTAGTCTTTCTGGGGTTATGTGATTACACACAATAAAGTGGAACTCAGCTTTAATAAAACAAAGTCGAAACGAAAATACAAATTGAACTTATACAGAGGAATTTTCGTCAAATTTATTATTCTACTGGAGCCGTGTTGTGTTGTTTCATGAAAAACACAAAATTGTTGATATATTTAAAATTATAGATTACTCAGCTCACATACAGACGAGTTACGTTGTTCGCTGTTAATGCCTTATACTTATGTTTCAATAAGCATTCTCTGTCAATGGGATGGATCCGAAATGCACCCACTAGATTCCCACTTTCATGCCACTGACACGTTATACAACACAACATACCGATATTCTGAACACATATTTTAGCAAGTGAGTCGTTGTTTCCATTTCCTACCTTTCCTTCCTTTGAAGAGTTTACCACCGACCTCAACTTCGCAGACTGTGAGAACTTTTTTGTTGGGTTTTATGTATTGCAACAAAACAAAACGACCCGTTGTCGAGGGGTTGCAGGTCAGAACGTCAGGTCTTGATAGTTTTCCTTTCTTTTGTGCACATGTCATCGGTTGAGAGCTGTTGTTCTCGAAGGGGTTTTCTTTAAATACTAGGATTTCCAGGTCACGGAATCTGTAAGCTGTTATTTCAATGCAATACTATACCATTATGTATATCAGAAAATAATACACAAAGGACAAAAAACAAGATCAAACTTGACAATTTTAACGAAAGATGTGTTGGATCCCACTACTAATTAACAATGGACATAACTAGTCTTTTTCTTTGCATGTTTCTCTCAACTATGATGACATGAAAAATGTTGAAGTTAAAATATAATTTTCAATATTGCCGCAAGAACTGCACTTATTTGTTTGTTTGTTGTTTAACACCGTACTCAGCTATATATGACGGCGGTCTGAAAAATAATCGAGTCTCGACCAAACAATCCAGCGATTGTCATCATGAGCATCAATCCACGCAATTGGGATACGATGACATGCAACAACCACCCGATCCCGTTAGCCGAAAGAGACTTGACCGTCGTCGTAGAGCTGAGTGCAGCGTTTAGCAACAAACAAACAAATAAACTTTTGAATAATTGCAGTTCTGGTGGCAATAGTGAAAATCAGATTTTCATGTCATCTTAATTCGGAGAAACATGTGACGTTTCAGCTTCAATGGTCCAGTGGAGGACATGATGTTTACAGTGCCAAAAATGCTGTTTCGAATTATGGAGATCATGGCCCAAATGCAAGAGTAAAAAGTATATAATTTAAAAATTGGAACATGACAAGTCATTTCAGATCAATCAGAAATTTCGGAATAATTGTCGTGAATACAGTTGTCTAAAGTGGCTCCCAATGTACCTCTGGAACAATTTGGTATCTCATCTCATCGTTGGGACAAGCCTGTATATTTGAGCTTTGTTGGTCCAGTGGCGTCTGAGGAAATTATGTTTACATTGCGAGGAAAAGAATTTTGAGAGACAATAGGATTACATGTGAAATTGAGGTCGGAATGGTAAGTATATTGTTAATAATTGCTAGTGTCTGTAACAAAATTCTTTTTTTTTCAAAATGGGTACTATAGCAGCGAAAATGCGATTCAAACCTGGTGAACAAGTACGAGGTGAAATCATTGGTTGAGGAGATGGGACGCAATTTTGGGAGAATTTAAGAGGCCCTCACGTAATAAAGGAAACTGGTCTTGCTTCAACTGTCAATGAGTGAGGACCTCGAAGAATTTGCGAAAAATGTGTTCCAAATATGTCAGCATCTACACTGTTCCCGACGTGATATTGCTGATTTGTGTAATGAGATACTGTGTCTTAAATAAGTACATGTCTCCCCTAACGGCACTTGGTTTATTTTTTAGCACATACTGTGTGTAAGCATTTATATTTCAGCATCTGCACTGTTACCAATATGTGTTTGTTTGTCAAAAATGTGATTTATGTATCGAGTTATAATGTCATAAACAAGAACATATCTCCCCTAACACCACTTGGTATATTCTATGTGCAACGTTTACGATAGCATGCTATATAGATATAATGAGATGTTTTTCAAGCACATACCGTGTCCACCCGACCGTCCATAAAGGGTGACGTTATGTACATCATAGATATCCTGCAAGTCAACCATCCACCAAGGTCTCGACACAGACTTAGCGGAAGTGAAGCATTGACCTCGTCTGCGATAGCCGCCCTTGTTACCATCAACCACATGGTTAGGATTTGAATACTTGTCATAATCTGTACATCCGTATGTTGGTTTCCGTAAGGCCAGATTGCTGACGTCATTGGTCTTCACCAATATCGCTGCTGGTTGAATATTAGGCCATTAGAAAAATCCCTAAAATTTATTCAACCCGCACATTTTAAGGAACAACCAAATTTCTATCACAAATCATTAATTAGGGAAAGGAGATGTTATATAAAAAAAACCAAGACAAAATCAGATTGAAGAAATTCTACAATGCCTTGTCAAAGTTTGCTCCAAATAACTCCCAATTCAGTTTCCAAGTGTTTATAGTTGTTGGGAAAGTACTACCCTGTTGCGAATCTAAACAAGATGTCAGCCTCCATGTCGTCTTCTTAACAGTGGAAAAATATTTTATTTTCTACTTTGTTGCTATTATGACTGAAAGTGAAAATCATCTAAATGGTGAGTAAAAGTTACAGTTTGTGTACAACGTTTGGTACAAATGAATAACTATGTTGATCATTTTACTATTTATGATTCAAATGTTCACTAATGTTTGGTTGGTTTGTTGTTCAACGCCGCACTCAGTAATATTCCAGCTATATGACGGCAGTCTGTAAATACTCGCGTCTGGACCAGAAAATCCAGTGATTAATATCATGAGCATCAATCCACGCAATTGTTTGTTTCACGCTCCACTCAGCAACATTAGTTATATGACGGCGGTCTGTAAATAATCGAGTCTGGACCAGACAATCCAGTGATTGACACCATGTGCATCGATCCACGTACATGTAACTGGGATCGATGACATGCCTGACAATCCGATCCCGTTAGTCGCCTCTTAAGACAAGCATAGTCGTCTTTAAGGCAAGCATGGGTTGCTGAAGAGCTATTTCACCCCGGATCTTCACGGTTCCATTAGGACAAAGGTTTGGGATCTTAACAGGTGGGACAAATGTCATACAATCACAATAATAAAATACTCACATTAACAGGCACATTTCTTTTCAAATATATAACAATGTTTTAATGAGCTTAACATTCTTTGTTTTAATAGTATGATAGATGCACTGAATAATCGTATTTCTTAGTTCGAGTACAGAATATGTAGATATAAATATATCTTTAATAGCTCAAGTTTTTCACAAGGCACACTAAGGAAACCTGTGATAACGTTTCTTTACCTGTTTATGTCCTGCATCAACAGTTAAACCCCCAACATCCCCTGTGTAATGCATCAAACACAAGACTAATCCCTCAACAAGGAAGAGATTTATACCATATAACACAATGAAACTATCACATAAAATTTAACATTTAACATACTTATTGAATTGTGTAGTTTATGCTTTGTTCGCTAGGTGTGCAAAGTCCTACACATAGTGCTCTTCTTTCTGGGGTTATGTGATTACACACAATAAAGTGGAACTCAGCTTTAATAAAACAAAGTCGAAACGAAAATAAAAATAGAACTTATACAGAGGAATTTTCGTCAAATTTATTATTCTACTGGAGCCGTGTTGTGTTGTTTCATGAAAAACACAAAATTGTTGATATATTTAAAATTATAGATTACTCAGCTCACATACAGACGAGTTACGTTGTTCGCTGTTAATGCCTTATACTTATGTTTCAATAAGCATTCTCTGTCAATGGGATGGATCCGAAATGCACCCACTAGATTCCCACTTTCATGCCACTGACACGTTATACAACACAACATACCGATATTCTGAACACATATTTTAGCAAGTGAGTCGTTGTTTCCATTTCCTACCTTTCCTTCCTTTGGAGAGTTTACCACCGACCTCAACTTCGCAGACTGTGAGAACTTTTCTGTTGGGTTTTATGTATTGCAACAAAACAAAACGACCCGTTGTCGAGGGGTTGCAGGTCAGAACGTCAGGTCTTGATAGTTTTCCTTTCTTTTGTGCACATGTCATCGGTTGAGAGCTGTTGTTCTCGAAGGGGTTTTCTTTAAATACTAGGATTTCCAGGTCACGGAATCTGTAAGCTGTTATTACAATGCAATACTATACCATTATGCATATCAGAAAATAATACACAAAGGACAAAAAACAAGATCAAACTTGACAATTTTAACGAAAGATGTGTTGGATCCCACTACTAATTAACAATGGCCATAACTAGTCTTTTTCTTTGCATGTTTCTCTCAACTATGATGACATGAAAAATGTTGAAGTTAAAATATAATTTTCAATATTGCCGCAAGAACTGCACTTATTTGTTTGTTTGTTGTTTAACACCGTACTCAGCTATATATGACGGCGGTCTGAAAAATAATCGAGTCTCGACCAAACAATCCAGCGATTGTCATCATGAGCATCAATCCACGCAATTGGGATACGATGACATGCAACAACCACCCGATCCCGTTAGCCGAAAGAGACTTGACCGTCGTCGTAGAGCTGAGTGCAGCGTTTAGCAACAAACAAACAAATAAACTTTTGAATAATTGCAGTTCTGGCGGCAATAGTGAAAATCAGATTTTCATGTCATCATAATTGGGAGAAACATGTGACGTTTCAGCTTCAATGGTCCAGTGGAGGACATGATGTTTACAGTGCCAAAAATGCTGTTTCGAATTATGGAGATCATGGCCCAAATGCAAGAGTAAAAAGTATATAATTTAAAAATTGGAACATGACAAGTCATTTCAGATCAAACAGAAATTTCGGAATAATTGTCGTGAATACAGTTGTCTAAAGTGGCTCCCAATGTACCTCTGGAACAATTTGGTATCTCATCGTTGGGACAAGCCTGTATATTTGAGCTTTGTTGGTCCAGTGGCGTCTGAGGAAATTATGTTTACATTGCGAGGAAAAGAATTTTGAGAGACAATAGGATTACATGTGAAATTCAGGTCGGAATGGTAAGTATATTGCTAATAATTGCTAGTGTCTGTAACAAAATTCTTTTTTTTCAAAATGGGTACTATAGCAGCGAAAATGCGATTCAAACCTGGTGAACAAGTACGAGGTGAAATCATTGGTTGAGGAGATGGGACGCAATTTTCGGAGAATTTAAGAGGCCCTCACGTAATAAAGGAAACTGGTCTTGCTTCAACTGTCAATGAGTGAGGACCTCGAAGAATTTGCGATAAATGTCTTCCAAATATTTCAGCATCTACACTGTTCCCGACGTGATATTCCTGATTTGTGTAATGAGATATTGTGTCTTAAATAAGTACATGTCTCCCCTAACGGCACTTGGTTTATTTCTAGCACATACTGTGTGTAAGCATTTATATTTCAGCATCTGCACTGTTACCAATGTGTGTTTGTTTGTCAAAAATGTGATTTATGTATCGAGTTATAATGTCATAAACAAGAACATATCTCCCCTAACACCACTTGGTATATTCTATGTGCAACGTTTACGATAGCATGCTATATAGATATAATGAGATGTTTTTCAAGCACATACCGTGTCCACCCGTCCGTCCATAAAGGGTGACGTTATGTACATCATAGATATCCTGCAAGTCAACCATCCACCAAGGTCTCGACACAGACTTAGCGGAAGTGAAGCATTGGCCTCGTTTGCGATAGCCGCCCTTGTTACCATCAACCACATGGTTAGGATTTGAATACTTGTCATAATCTGTACATCCGTATGTTGGTTTCCGTAAGGCCAGATTGCTGACGTCGTCTTCTTAACAGTGGAAAAATATTTTATTTTCTACTTTGTTGCTTCATCACCCCTGATTCCCTGGTCTTACAAAAGACAAAGCTAACATGCAAGTTTTTTCAGTTTAACTGAAAGAGTTTTGTTTAATGCTGCTGTCAACATTATTTCAGTTTGACACAGGTTGATGCCTCAATTACCTCATTGGTGAAACCCATAAGCTCCCATACGTAGCCGATAAACCGGGAACAGAATCAAGACGAATCTGGAATCCCCTAATTTCTGTGCCTTCATGGCCTTGTCAACATCAGAGGTGATGTCTATTGTGTCATTTATTATTCTACTGAAGCCGTTTTAGATCGTTTCATGAAAAAGCTCAAAATAGTTAATATATTTAAAATGACAGAATACTCAAGTCTTACATATATAGACGAGTAACGTTGTTCGCTGTTAATGCCTTATACTTATGTTTCAAAAAGCATTTTTCGTCAATGGGATGGATCCAATATGCATCCACTACTTTCACAAGTTCACGTGACTGACACGTTACACAATACAACATACCGATATTCGGAACACTTATTTGAGCGAGTGAATCGCTTTGTCAAAATCTTAGCCATAAAGCTCCAAGATAAATATATTTTTAAAAAACATGTTAAATTATTGTGAGATGAAATGGGGTTTAGTGCTCGCTTGTATAGAGACGTGCAATACACATTGGTTTGGTTGGTTTGTTGTTTAACGCCGCACTCAACAATATTCCAGCTATATGACGGCGGTCTGTAAATAATCGAGTCATTGGGATCGATGGGATCGATGTCATGCATCAACCAAGTCAGCGAGGCTGACCACCCGATCCCGTTAGTCGCCTTTTACGACAAGCATAGTCACTTTTTATGGCAAGCATGGGTTGCTGAAGACCTATTCTACCCCGGAATCTTCACGGGTCCGTGCAATAAACAAATGTTATTTGTAACATAATTGCAGGTTTTGTCAAAAGACCAATTTCGTCACGACATTGTCACATTATCTGCCAGCATAATTGGATAAAAGTTATCACAGAATAGCTTCAACAGTATATCATCCCACTTGCAACTGTAGAGTGCACAGTAGTATACTCTTGGCGATAAACCATACATGTCGGAGGTACATGCTCATCAGTTTAAAAGCAAATGTTCAGGAATTTGATTGAACAGATTGGTTGGTTGGTTTGTTGTTTAACGCCGCCCTCAGCAATATTCCAGCTATATGACAGCGGTCTGTTATAATCGAGTCTGGACCAGACAATCCAGTAATTAATATCATGAGCATCGATCCAAGCAGTTGGGATCGATGACATGCATGAACCAAGTCAGCGAGCCTGACCACCCGATCCTGTTAGTCGCCTTTTACGACAAGCGTAGTCACCTTTTACGGCAAGCATGGGTTGCTGAAGACCCGTTCTACCCTGGAATCTTCAGGGTCTTGATTGAATATATTTGCAATTTGATACTGACACGTTTTACAATGTTAATCAAAATTAAATTGCAATCCTGATTGTAAAACTGGTTGTACGAACTGTACTCTGCTCAGTCTTCACTATCAAAATAATAACATTTTTGTTCAGTACATAAGCGGGGTGATCGCTTGGTATGTTGTTTACAGTGCAATCATAGCTGTCCGAGAGGAATGGGAAGGGACGACTATACACGAATGTAAGGGATTTTGTTACCTTCTTTGTTGAATCTTGAAGCTGGTGGTTCCGTTTCAAACCCAGTAGCCAAAGAAATGGCCCCGAGAATGAAAATACCGACCAACATGTCCCAAATTCTTCCGAAGTATAAAGTCAGATAAAGCGTTACCTCAAACCATACACGTGACCTCAATCTGAATGCTGTTCACGCCACAGCGTCAGTGTACAAAGAATGCACGCTCTGGAAGACAATGCTATGTTTTTCTCTCGTGGGAAATCTTACTTGAGCTTGTGTACTTAGTACTGGGCACAGTGAAATCAACGCAGCACAAATGAAACACCTTGCTGTTGTTTGGTGCAAACAAAACCGATGTGTTTCATATTTAACTCACCTTACTCAATTTCAGTTGAGCTTATTCGCGCCTTGCATGTCCGTTCTTGCGAGACCGTGAAGATCCGGTGTAGAATAGGTCTTCAGCAACCAATGCTTGCCGTAAAAGGCGACAATGCTTGTCGTAAAAGGCGACAATGCTTGTCGTAAAAGGCGACTAACGGGATCGGGTGGTCAGGCCCGCTGACTTGGTTTATACATGTCATCAATCCCAATTGCGTGGATCAATGCTAATGATATCCATCACTGAATAGTCTGGTCCAGACTCGATTATTTACAGACCGCCGTCATTTAGCTGGAATATTGCTGAGTGCGGCGTAAAACCAATAAACCAAACCAAAAATCGTAGCAATATATCAGCTACATAAAGGCGGTCTGTAAATAATTGACACTGGATCGGTCAGCCCAGTCTTTATAACAACAGTAGTTAAACCGGTTATAAAATATATACATTTTGATACAGATTTGTGCTGTCCCCAATGGGGACTTCTAGTATCACCTAACTAAAAGTCGTATTTCCTCAAATGAAATCCTAAAGATCTAGCCCTTTCTCAGCCGTTTTCAACATTTAGTGTTCATGACCATATTATTTATTTTGTGATTTTTATTTCAAATGTGATATATTTCGGTACATTTGTCGTTTGTTGTGGGTCAACACATATGTTCCGCTTTTTGAGATACTTTGTTGTTATCTTATTTGGGCAATGCTTTGAGATTCTCACAAAATTCATTTTTGGCTCATTAAGCGTGTCAATATTTCCAGGCTGAGGATTCCTCAATGACATATGATGACATATTTTGTTCAGGTCATTAGATGTTATAGTGTATCAGTGTTTTGGCTCAGCATTCAAGCAGACAATATGTGGTGTCAACGCTGACAGCATTTTTGTTTTAAATATCTGTCTTTGTTGACATTTTATTGAATATTGTTGACACTTTATCCAGGTGGGCTACAGTCCCTTGACGCTATGTGTTATGGCTTATGTCACTCGTGACCTCAGTCGTGAATTTTTGTACAAGCAGAAATGAACTTGAATATTTTCCTCGGAATGATAAAAACACCCGTTCTAATGACTTCTCACATGCAACTGATATTGTGATGTATTCCATCACATACCATGTGCGATGTGTCTGACAATTCGCTGCCTCAGAATTACTTTCTTTCAATTCACCTTTAACTACTTTCGAGTCTGAAAGTTTGTAATGTTCACATCAATACACCTCGAACTGTGTGACTTGTAACATTACGCCAATTTTATTCATTTAGTAAAAATGTCAAACTGGCGACAAAATATGCCTAAAAGGCTTTTAAATTGATAAAACGAAAAAATTTCGTCCATAGATAGAAAGGTATACCACAATGATTTGAATTTTTTTCTGATTCTGAAGGTGCTCTATCTAAATTTGTATAGAAAGGTCCGATTCCTGTTTAACCTATTAAGTCACACTATCAATCTGGGTAACCTGTGTGACTCTAAAGTTGTTCCTGTGCTCCCCCACTATATAAACCCCCTTCACTTACACGAATAAATGTGCATTTGTGAGCTTTTAAGTGCATTATATTTTGCCCTGTTTATGATTAAAAGCACTATGAAAATGAGAACAAGACTTCCACAAGTTTAATCTGAAATGTAAAGCATAAAAGATGCAAAGATATTTTTAATGAAACATAAATAAAATAAGAACACAAAACATTCCTATCAGGAGAGAGAGAGCATCTCCTTTAGATCGCAAGTGAACTTTTCATCAACCCAGATTTCTAACACGTCAAAGTAAAGTCTGACAACCGTTATATACAAAATACATATACAAAATAGTGTCAGATTCTTGTTAGAACAAAATATTTCTGTAAATTGTGGCTTTTTTATTGAGAAACTAAAAATAATTTTTTTGCATAACCTAAAGATCAGAATCTGCGCTTTCCAATAAATACCAAATACAAATACACTCATTTTGAACTAATTTTGTCGACAGAACAGTATAATTCTGATGCCACAAAATGTCCATTATTTAGAATCTTTATATTAAGAATCTTGAAATAACAAAATTTGGATCTTGGCATGCAAAACAAATCAATGAGATCATCTATTCAAAGTGTTTGATTGACATTCTAGAAGTTGGGGAAGAAGTAAGAAAACATGCAACTTAATGGATTTCAATTTCTTGTTGATTGCATGCAGCAACGTTCGATGCAGACTTTACACCATTATTAAGCTAGGGCGAGGGAGTAAGCGCAATCACGGTGTGAGAATCTACATCGAAACGTGGCTAAATGCAATAAACCAGAAGTTGTTATTAAAAAAGTTGTATGTTTGTTTGCTTTCCTATTCAAATCACAAGATGGTCGTCATTGAGAAACGAACTAGGTTCAATGTTACAACAGCATTGTATATATCAGGGTGATCTGTACATATCCGAGTCTGGAATATAGTAAACGTTTGTTTGTTTGTTTGTTTGTTGTTTAACGCCGCACTCAGCAATATTCCAACTATATGACTATGTAAATAATCGAGTCTGGACCAGACAATCCAGTGATTGACATCATGAGCATCGATCCACGCAATGGGGATCGATGGCATGTATCAACCAAGTCAGCGAAATACAATGACATGCATCAACCAAGTCAACAAATCTGACCACCCGATCCCGTTAGTCGCCTCTTACGACAAGCATGGGTTGCTAAAGACCTATTCTACCCGGATCTTCACGGGACTATCGGTTTTCCATTTCGGTTTTGGAATAATGCTGTGTTTTGCAATTGTGAAATTTAATTTTGAATATTTCACAAGAGAAAATATGTTTAAGTGGTCATGAGGGGTTTGATGAAAATAATAGAAATATACTCAGGAGAAAAAGAAACCATACCTCTCAGTTGATTTTCAGTTGAAAATATCTGAAGTTAGCGATATTTTATAAAGATATGAACTGCAATGGCTCTTAGGCGGAATCGTACAATCGACTCTGCTTTTAGCAGAGAATTCTTATGTAAACATAAAAGGTTTTGTAGCTTTTATTACTGTTGTTATTATTATTTACAAATAATTTATTTTTTTTAAATGCATCAAAGAGTGTTTTTGTGATCCTGGCAGTCAGGCTGGTTAGGCTCATCAGCTCAGGGCCCTTGCTCCCTCTACACGCAATTAAGCGCTGTCTAGTCAAAACCACCCAGAACGTTTCGGAGAATGTGAAGACTCCCCAACACAGCAGCCTTCTGCATTACCCAGATTGCCAGGTTTGTATTCCTGGTAGCAAACCCTGGTACTCTCCCAATGTCACTCAACAGATTGGGAGGTACCAATCTAAGGCACCGAGAACAACTTAGGATGCAAGCGTGACATTTCAAGAGCGAAGTCTGCATATTTGCCATATTTTTCCTGAATCTTGTCAATCTCATTATTGTCAAAATGGACAGAAAATTCAATGATATAAATGAAATCATTGGATTTATCCAAAATGACAAGATCAGGTTTGTTGGCCTGGATACGTCTGAGGCTGTATACGGGCCTATTCCAAAGAATTTTGTATTTATCGTTTTCCATGACACCCTCTACATATTCTGGGTCGTACCATGGATGGCGCTGTGTCAAAACCACAAGCATACGGTAACAAAATGATCAAGCCACTCCATCATGTCTCTTAAGTTACTGTGTTTGTCCCCAAGCTGGGCATCCACTTATTATTATTTTTATTATATGGACCAAAATATTGTGAGCATCATACCAATTGGAATTACAACTATAAAACCATTGTGTTGAGCATATGCCAAAACACGGTCTTTCACAGTGTGATGTCATTGCCAGAATGCACAAACTGAAATGGAGGTAACAGAATGTGATTCAAAGTATGGCTGACCTGCATGAAAAGTTTCTGGTTCTCACTGATAAGGCCCCAAATAGCACCAGGCAAGCATTACTACATTAATTGTTTGATAAAAAAAAAACATGGAAAAAGTGTAAATAATGCAACATAGAACGCCAGTGGGTTCACTTAGGATGACATCGGCCAATACAGTGCACCAGTAAAATCAACTTTTGACTCGACTCTAAAGTCTGAAGACATGAACATTCCTCTTTTATAAGCGATCCCAAAGCTCCATTCAAGTCTGTACAAAGATCGGTGTATTGCTGGGTCACATGAGAGAACTCTGCATGAACATTCCTCTTTTATACTTGATGCCAAAGCTCCATTCAAGTCTGTGCAAAGATCGGTGTATTGCTGGGTCACATGAGACAACTCTGCATGAACATTCCTCTTTTATACTTGATGCCAAAGCTCCATTCAAGTCTGTACAAAGATCGGTGTATTGCTGGGTCACATGAGACAACTCTGCATGAACATTCCTCCTTTATACTGGATGCCAAAGCTCCATTCAAGTCTGTACAAAGATCGGTGTATTGCTGGGTCACATGAGACAACTCTGCATGAACATTCCCCTTTTATACTGGATGCCAAAGCTCCATTCAAGTCTGTACAAAGATCGGTGTATTGCTGGGTCACATGAGACAACTCTGCATGAACATTCCTCTTTTCAACTGGATGCCAAAGCTCCATTCAAGTCTGTGCAAAGATTGGTGTATTGCTGGGTCACATGAGACAACTCTGCAGGTTTTAAAGCACAGAGTGAGTGAGTATGGTTTTACCCCGCTTTTAGCAATATTCCACAATATCATGGCTGGGGACACCAGAAATGAGCTTCATCAATTGTACCCATGTCGGGAATCGAACCCGGGTCTTCAGTGTGACGAGTAAACGCTTTAAACATATGGCTATGCGAAGGCCCCTTTAAATCACAGAGGACCATCTACAGTCAAAAACCTTTCGGTTTAAAACAAACGACAACACAAACATTTAACATCACATTTTATTATCGTTCAGTCAGCAACGATTCATAATCACAGAATATCTATATGTTTATGAAATAATTGCAATGATGAGCTTACATGGACTTATACCAACATGAGAACACAATCACACTTTAAACCCCAAACAATTTATTATGTATGCATGCTTCTTGATTACATTCAAAATGAAATAGTATTTCTTAACATTTAACATAAGGGTAATGAACAATAGATGTGTACAGGCTCTAGACGGAAGGAATGTCATTGTGTGAAACATTCATTAGGTATGCATGCTACCTCAATTACAATCAAAATATAATGGTATTTTCTTGCCCAAGAATTTCTTTCACATGTACATTAAAATGCATAGTCAAACACTTAACTTACAATAGGCCATCCATATTTTTCTCATCTCAAACCACAACCAGAAAGAGAGTGGGCAGGCAAAATATTCAAAAAAAATATCTAAAAATAAAAAGTGTTTTAGGAGTGGGTGGCGGCTAAGACACCTTCCCCTATTCCTATGAGTCTGATGTTATATTCTTAGTCAATCAGAATAAGGCGGAGATGTATGATTTACATACAGATAAAACAAAAGCAGGAAATGACCAGAAGCACACTTTAAGGCTAAACATGAAATCCATGCTATGTGCTGTTATTCCAGAACTTTCTCTGGGAGAATAATATTAAAGTAGCATATTGTTTTTGAAGATTTTTCACTTTTTCATCAGCTGTACTTCAGTACAAACATTATGACATGCTACACACTGACTAAGCAATAATTACTGTATATGCTATGATATATAAAACAACATTGGTTTACATCATTGTGAAAGAATATTGTAAAATGTCTGTTAAAATGATAATAAAGAGTGGAATACTGTTGTTATCTTCAAAGGCACAGACATTTCTTTCATGTAAATGGTAAGATCAAAAAGCTTTGATCATGAGACAACATGGTGCTGTGAAGATTATGCATAAATAACTGACTAAGTTAGTGTTGATGTCATTATTAATAAAATCAGATTATTTTCCCCCAATTTGGTACCTCTTTGTATCAAAGTCTGACACACCCTCCTGAGTCAGGTTATGTACATTTTTGGCATGATCAAGCGAAACATTCGGAAACAGATGTAAACAGACAGTTCTGAATGGAAAAGAATAATACCTACCATGCTGTAGGTGTTTTACTCTGTTGTGTTCTTTAAAAGAGATAATGTTTTCTTGTTGTGGTTTCTTTTCTTGAAACAAACAATGTGCACTGATATGTGTAAACATTGTTCAAATACCCAGATTGACAATGAAGGCTGTCTAGAATGTGGTCACCTAAAATGGTCAAAGGTGTACGCATATTTCGTTTTAATTGGTTGGCAAAGTCCAGTCAGTGTTAAGCTGATATGACCTGTTTTGAGTGAGTGAGCTGGGTTTAATGACTCTGTGAACAATATTTCATTCATATAATTTCGTGTCAGCTTAATTTGGGAGGAAAGCCGGATGTGACGTATCAGACGTTTACCACCTTTACCACGTTAACGAGCATAGGCATGGTGCTCTGAAACATAGAAACATAATCGGGGACCCGTGATTCGAACCAACAATCCTAGGTTTCTGGCGTGCCCAAGGGATGCAACATAGCAAATTGAGGCAACTTAGACGATTGGGCCCAATAACCTGTTATGAAGGAGTGTCAGATCTTGAAGGAGTGAGTTATCAAATTGGAGTTAAGATCTGATTTCATTCTGAGTCAATTATTCATATAATACAACATGGTGCTTGAATTAATAAATGCATTTAATAGGAGGAAATCATAAAATTGCACATATTGAGTGTTGGAAGTCAATCCAGTTCTAATAATCAGTTCAGTTTGAGTAACACTGACAACGAAACAACTTGCAAGCATAATTGAAAATGTTATTATAAATTGCATATTAATATACTTATCCTATCTGACACTTCGCATTTCTGATTTCTTCTTCAAGGGATGCCGAGGAGTGTTTGGGGAAGTGTTTTATTTTAGAAACTGGAAACAAGGTTCAACCACGTTTCCACATATGATCGAAGGAATAAAGAAGAAATGGCAGTGTGAGATAGGATAAGTTTAAAAATATATATTGTGCAAAACTGTGCGAAACAGAAAAATAGAAAATAATTTGATCATGTCACCATCACCATTGATCACCATGACAAAGGGGTCAGTGTTTGAACAAATTATAAACATAAAATAATAATAAAATATAAAAAACAACAGAGCAATTACGGACAAGTGAAAACCATTTCATGCTTTGGGAGGGTCGGGGACTCAGATGTTATTTTTATATTTGTTGGAGTTTTTGTGTGCAAATGTCAGAAATCGGACGAGTGAATAAAAAAATATACTGGATCATTGAATGATGCTCAAAATATTATGTGTTGGTGGGAAAAAAGAACAAAAACAAATGAAATCATCATCTTAAGCTCCATCTGCTGAATACTTCCCTTATTGTCAGCAAAGTCTGTGTCAAGGTCATCTTAAGCTCCATCTGCTGAATACTTCCCTTATTGTCAGCAAAGTCTGTGTCAAGGTCATGGGATATGACTAGATTTATTATGCAAGGAATTTCTCTACAGCAAAATAGCATACTCAGCAATTTGGCGAGATATTAATGTCAAATTGAACATCATGTTTTACAGATTAATATTTTTTAAACACTGTGTAATCTCAAAATAGATTTGTGTGTTTGACATGTCGGTGACACAAGTGTTAAATAGAAAATAGGGTCGGTGGATCCATGATCAAACAAGCACAGAAATAATACACTTAGAGAAAGAGTACTTGTTTTGCCACTGTTTCAAACATTACTATTTTTTTCTCTGAAAAGAGAAGCGAAACAGATTTTGGAACCACAAGGCAAACATTTTTTGTGGTTGCAAATCTGGAGCCAAAAGTATACTTTTTCCAGCATTTTCTTGAACAGATTATTATGATTTTTAAACAAATCCCTGGTCACCCCCCAGATTATCAAATTATGTTTCAGGAAATCTGGGTTTGCACAATACATATCCATATGACAGGAAGACCAAAGGAAAAATAAACTGCTGTATTGTTTTTTTGATAAATTGATTCAAGCGAACATATTATGAGTGAGTGAGTGAGTGAACTGGGATTAACGCTGCTTTGAACAATATTCCAGTTATATAACAGTGCGTCAGATTGACGTGGGAGGAAAGACCAAAGTGATGCAGGTCTTAGAGGTTTAAGACTTTGGAGAAACCCACGAGAATGGATGTGGGGGCATACAAACATAGAATCATAATCAGGGCAAACCGAGATTCTAAGGCAATCATAGGTTTCTGGGGTGACCAAAGGACACAACTCTGCACAGCGAAACTGTGGCATCTTAGACGACTTGGCCACAAAACATCGTACACAATTTTAAGGTTTAATTCCCCTGAACTTTTCACTTAGACAATTAATATCCCATATGACTCTTAGAAAATGATTACAGGTTTTTCATATGAAAACATATGGAAAGAGGTGTTTAACATTTTTCCAGGAGTATGTCTCCAAAGGGAGATAACTCAGGACCCATGATAAATTTATCTGCAAATGTATTGATCAAGAATATTTTGCTAGGAACTGTACAGTACAGATTAACAATGCTTATTTGTACACAGTGAAAGTCTTCTACCCTTTTGTCCACTTCCAGAACATCGGGCTGAAACTCAATTTCCCCACCCGAACACTGGACACACATGACCTTTACCACCAGAACATCGGTCCGTACATCATGGACCCTAGAGCGGCGCCAGCAACCACACCCATCGCCATGTCCGATCCATTGTAGCGGTGACGGCGGTGGTAGTCGTCAACATATACCACATTTGGTCCTGGGTTGCTAACAACTGAAATGTAAGTTGTTTCTTATTCAAGAACTGTCCGTTAAGAAAAGGGAAGTATTTTGCTTTGGAACAATCTCATTAAAATCAGATCCTCTACTCTGATGTCACACCTCTCTGCTTGAAGATCTATGGACACCACCACATAAGGTCTCATAAGAAGAAAGTTTTAATCACCGAGGTTGAAAACCCTTGGTACACCTGAGACAAAAACAAATATAGTCTGGGGGTTACAAATGCAAAAATGGACATTCAGTCTCAACTCTAACTCACCTGTAGTAGATGTTCCACTAGGTCCATGGATGACACTGCCTAGCAGGTAGATGGTATATCTCAAGTCTAACTCACCTAAACAGTTAATTCACTAGGGCCGTGGATGACGGTCTAAGGCTGGTAGAGGGTCTATCTCAAGTCTAACTTACCTGTAGCTGTTGTTCCATAGGTCCACTAGGGCCGTGGATGACGGTCCAAGGCTGGTAGAGTGTCTATCTCAAGTCTAACTTACCTGTAGCTGTTGTTCCATAGGTCCACTAGGGCCGTGGATGACGGTCTAAGGCTGGTAGAGGGTCTATCTCAAGTCTAACTTACCTGTAGAAGTTGTTCCATTAGGTCCACTAGGTCTGTGGATGACGGTCCCCAGCCGGAAGATGGTCTATCTCAAGTCTAACTCACATGTAGCAGTTAATTCACTAGGTCCGTGAATGATGGTGCCCGGCAGCTTGACAGTCTGCCAAAAGTCTAACTTAATTGTAGAAGTTGTTACATTAGGTCCGTGGATGACGATCACCAGCTGATAGAGGGTCTGTCACAAGTCTAACTTACCTGTAGTATTTGTTCCATTAAGTCTGTAGATGACGATGTGGGGCAGGTAGACGGTCTATCTCGTGTCTAACTTACCTGTAGTATTTGTTCCATTAAGTCCGTGGATGACGATGATGGGGCAGGTAGACGGTCTATCTCGTGTCTAACTTACCTGTAGTATTTGTTCCATTAAGTCCGTGGATGACGATGATGGGGCAGGTAGACGGTCTATCTCGTGTCTAACTTACCTGTAGTAGTTGTTCCATTAGGTCCGTGGATGACGATGTGGGGCAGGTAGACAGTCTATATCGTGTCTAACTTACCTGTAGTATTTGTTCCATTAAGTCCGTGGATGACGATGATGGGGCAGGTAGACGGTCTATCTCGTGTCTAACTTACCTGTAGTAGTTGTTCCATTAGGTCCGTGGATGACGATGTGGGGCAGGTAGACAGTCTATATCGTGTCTAACTTACCTGTAGTATTTGTTCCATTAAGTCCGTGGATGACGATGATGGGGCAGGTAGACGGTCTATCTCGTGTCTAACTTACCTGTAGTAGTTGTTCCATTAGGTCCGTGGATGACGATGTGGGGCAGGTAGACGGTCTATATCGTGTCTAACTTACCTGTAGTAGTTGTTCCATTAGGTCCCTGGATGACGGTGCCCGGCTGGTAGACTGTTTGGCCGAGGGCTCCGTTGTACATGACATGTGTGGTCTGACCAGGGACCCCGTTGTACAAGACCTGACCGGGGTATCCATAGCTGGAGTTTGTAACCAATGTCTGGTAGGAGGGTGGGACGGAACTGCTCCTCTGTCCCATCACACGGGCTTCCTCCAGAGCTATCTGCCATGCCCTGGAGAGAGAGGGAAGTGTGAACTTGGGGTGTCAACATACAGAGCAATGGTTGCAGAGGGGGCTTAGGGGTGTCAAGCTACACATATCTTGCTGAAAATTTCCTCAATCAAAATAAATAATAATCCCAAGGCATGCGGTTATATGTCTATGTTTCACATTACAAGATCACTACCCCAACTGTCCTGTGTATGACCTGAACATTCTCAAAGTTAGTTTCATAATTAGTTAACAAATGTAAACCGCACTGTAGCTCACCTGGATATGTAGTCAACAGTCTTATATGTCACTGCTGCTGTGGGTATTGATACATTAATATACATGTCAAACCGCATAGAAACTTCTTTATTATATATATTTCAGAGCAGGCACAAAACCGGATCTTAACAGGTCGTTTGTTAGATTTGTGAGTTACATGTACCAACCTGCAGCCATCAATTCTCCATTTCATTCTGGCAAAATGGCATGAGTGTATATACTAATTACCACCGCTATGTGTATACTATTTATTCCCTGGATATAAACTGACCCTAAGGTGTTTGTTTGTTGTTTAACGCCACACTCAGCAATGTTCCAGCTATATGAAGGCGGTCTGTAAATAATCGAGTCTAGACCAGACAATCCAGTGATTGACATCATGAGCATCGATCCACACAATTGGCATACGATGACATGCAACAACCAAGACAGCAAGCCCTGACCACCCGATCCTGTTAGTGGCCTCTTACAATAAGCATAGTCGCTTTTTACGGCAAGCATGGGTTTCTGAAGACCTATTCTTCCCAGGAACTTCACTGATCTGCATGTACAATCATTATCAATTACATTATCTCCAGAATATCACAATACAGACACCCTTATCGCAATGCAATTTATTTGCCAATACACAGCCCTGATAATCAGTGTCCCAGCACCACAACTACACGAGGAGATGACGAAGATGGTAGTGAATGAGTGAGTTGGGTTTAACACCGCTTTTAACAGTATTCCAGTTATATCATGCTGTGTCAGGTTAATGTGGGAGGAAAGCCCAAAGTGATGCAAGTGTCAGGCATTTCGCACTTTAGTCAAACACACAAGCATGGATATGGCGCTGACAAACCCAGAGCAAAATCGAGGCAAACCAAGATTCGAAACCACAATCATAGGTTTATGGTGTGCCCAAGGGATGCAAGACTGCATAGTGAATTTGGTGTCATATTTGACTGGGCCACCAGTGCCCACTGTAGATCGCAGGTAAAACAAGATACGTACTTCATATCATCTGAGCTCTCAGCACATAGTCTAAGCTCCTCATTCCTCATGTCTAGAGCAAACAGACACCCCTTGGACATTCCCTCTGGGGGAGTCACACTGTTACACTGAAACAAGCAAATAACATCATAATGAGAACACTAGTGGCAAAAGTAAAAAACAATGCATGTTTGTTTCTGGTTTCCAACCCAAATCTGGAGCCCCAGACATTAAACCCCTTGTTTGTTGTATCACATCACTCAACAATACTCCAGTAATCTGAGGGTGGGGGTCCCAGGCTGGCGTCATGAAGCACATTCACTTGATTTCATTTCTTCTTTCTCTAAAACTTAAGACTTGGAAATCTTATGTAGGCGTTCAGGGTCATAGTTCAACACAGCCCACCTTTAATCATCATGTAAAAGGACGGGATTTGAAGGATTTATTTCTGAAAAATTAAAATATAATCAATAGGAAAAGAAATACAATTAATTAAACTTTTTTTACTTTGAGGATAACATTTTAGTGTTAGACTGTCCCTGAAATGGGGACTGCCTCTGTGGTCTAGCAGTCTAGCAGATAGAGCATCTGCCCAGAGAATGGAAGGGTGGTTGTTTAATCCCCAGAAGCACCAAACCAACAGACTTTAAATGATGGTAGTTGTTGTTACCATGCCTGGGGCTCGGCATTAGGGGATAAGAAAAGGACTGGTTGGCTTGGACTCATTATCAGGGACTTATCTGGGACTCTTTATGAACCAAGTGCTTGTGGCAGGCAAATTGTGAAAAATCATTATTTTGTTCAAAATTGGGATTTTCTAAAAGTGATTATTTTCTTTAATCCAGAGGGATATTGAGATTGCATTTAATGCAATAATATAAAACAAAGCATCAACACCTGTTCCTTCTTATTGGTCTTGCTTTAAGTGAATACAGTTTACCTCTACAAAGCCATAAACAGTGTCTCATTTAACGGTTATAACACTTTTTTTACCGGTAAAATTAAGCTTGGACTGGTAATTCATGTGACACCAGTCCCCGTGGACTGGCAAATAAAGTACTTATTATAATTCTTTGTTGTTGAGCAAAACGTCGGTGATATTCATGCAAATACGTTTTTCGAACAAAGTCAGCTTGTCTGTTACCATCAGGGTGTCCCCTTGTCTATTTCTAGGTTAAACATCCAGTTGTAGCGACTTTGTCTCGAAATAATAAAAATAAAGTGAAAATTGTGACTGAAGTTTATGTGAACGACATATAGATCTAACTAAGTCACTCCAGAGATGACATCTTTGCATTGAACATGAAGTTGAAAGAATTAAAACCAAATAATTTTCATATGTCTTTATATTTGTTGAAAGTTGGGACTGGCAAAAATTAGGGGGGACTGGCAGTTTCAAAAGCCAGCGGGAAGACTGATAAAATTAGTCATCAGTTACATATATATGAATACATTGTAACATGAATTAGGAAATGTTTTGTTCCAAATATCGGCCACTGGGCAGGTCTAAATAAATCCCTGAGAATCTTGCTAAAAGCGGAAAAAAACATACTCACTAACTCACTCACTCAAACGCGATGTTAAACCCCATTTCATATCACCTGGCCTGCTATTGAACAACCGTAGTATTTTCCAGTTATGTAATTGTGGCCTGTAAACAATCAAGCGAAAACAGATGTTCCACACTTGAGAGTATGAAGACACACAATCCACCAAGACACCGAGCCTGATCCCCAATCCACCAAGTCACCGAGCCTGAACCACCGATCCACCAAGTCACCTTACTAGTGAAGATCCGGATAAGAATTAATTTTCAGCAACCCATGCTTTCAACAAAAGGCACCTATACTTGTTGTAAGAGGCAACTAACGTGAACGAGTGGTCAGGCTCGATGGCCTGGTTGATGTATGACATCGTATCCAAATTGAGTGGATCGATGCTCATGATGTCAATCACTGGATTGTCTGGTCCAGACTTTGTTATTCACAGGCCACCTTCATATAGCTGGAAGATACACCCCTCTTAAGACCAGCATAAGTTGCTGAGGGCTATCTTTAACCCCAATCCATAAGGGGTGACAAACAAGTAGGAGTCCCTTCCAACCCCCACTGTACCTCAAAGCCTGGCTTAATCCTTTGTACTCGTGCTCGTACGACAATTCTCTCTTCTGCCCTGGGCTCATCGGGGTTCTCGAAGTACAACAGATCCCCATTGGTACGCAGGACAAACCAGTTCCTCTTCCAGCGGTGAAGGATCGAACCTGTCAAAGACATTAATGATCAATAAATCTTCACTAATTATACATAACATGTATGTGAAGCCCACTGTTTTCTTTCAGCTTGTGTTTGGCTCCAGGGTTAAAAACTAACAGTTTTTGTCCACTAGTCCGTATAATGATAACATATAGCAAAACCCTTAAAATGGGCCAATTTCTACTTGTCCTTTGGATACTTTTAATATTGAGCAGTTTGGTAAGGACTACAGGACTAGTGCCAATTTCTAATGCTGGGCTCTAGGAGAAATTTTAGAGGTACCTGAAATTTAGCTTTTTAAAACCAATACACTAAACTAAGCACATGAGCAATATGGCTACAATGGACAAAAATGGGCTAAACGGCTACAAAGTTGTCTGCAAAATCTAAAATTTTGTAAGAAAACATGCTGTATTATTTCTAACAGATTAGGTATATTTTCCCTCAATATCACAAACCAGGAGCTTCAATAAATGGGCTGCACATACGATTATGACTAAAAACGCTTACTCTGTCTGTGGAGCCAACCCGCCTTGGCTATGTCGAAACTTTCCATGTCTTCTTTCTGTTGAAAGAAAAGAACTTTTTCAACTTCAAGTCAGGAGGTTTCAACAGGTCTGCCTCTGACACCATGACAGCCATGTGTGTAACTCTTTAAAAATATCATACAACATAACGACGTGAACTTGTTAACTTGTATATACACATAAACAAATTTTGGCTTACCTGTACACAGGAAATAGACTTAGATATATATGTATATATTTGGGCTGCAGCAAATACTCTATTAGGCGAATACAATTCGTATCACGAATATTGGGTAACAAATACAAATATTAATTCTGAAAACATTAACAAGTCAGAAGTTGATGTATTATTTGTTATATTCAGTGAAACAATAACAACATAAATTATGATATATTATACATTTATATACTGCACTTATCCAGGTACTAGTAGTAGTATATGATCAAATGCGACAATCAAATTAAATATCATGAGAGTGTTGTCTTTTGAAAACATCTATGCGTAAAAAATATGTTATTATGGATATTTTTAGGTACAGAGTATGTAAATGCACACGATTGCACATTCATTAATACTCGATTCTAGTCGCAACGAGTAACGAATTCAATTCATGAATGGATACGGTTCGATTCACCGATTACGGGAGTGAATACGCGACTTCGAGATTCACACTTTTCCCCTAGCCTGAATCTAATTAAATGCGTGATTACAAGCAAAAATTCAATCATGGTAGTCCTCTTGAATTAGTGGCATTGAGGATATAATTTCATAACCATTTTTCAACGATTCAGTTCTGCTCGACTCCGCTTTGAACAGTATTCCAGTTGCCTCATGGCATGTCAGCTTACTGTGGGTGAAAGCCTGAAGTGATGCAATTATCAGACGTTTACCACTTTGGTGAAACCCAGGAGCATGGGTAGGGTGCTGACAATCCCAGAAACATAATCGAGGCGAACCAGGACTCGAACACATGATCATAGTTTTCTAAGAAGGCAACTCTGTACAGCGAATTGCAGCACCTTAAATGACCGGGTAGGGTAGGTTGCCCCCAATTCTATCCCTGACCCTTGGACCCCTTTCCAATCAAACGCCTTTGACGACTTTAGGGATGGATACAACTTGCCGATCAAACACCACTCTATACTTCTTAGCGTAGGGCACCCCTTTACGATCCTCAGGGTCAGTTATGAGCTAAAGTATAGGTTACCCAGCTAACACACGACGTTGTCACAACGTTGTGGAAATGTTGTGGATTGGTAACGTCGTCATATTATGTTGTCACAACGTTGTTATAAGTCAACGTGCAACGTTATTTCACAACGTTATAACAACGTTGCACATTCACGTTGTGAAAACGTTGTGCATTGGACATCACACAACGTTTTGTAGCTACGTTTCTGAAACGTCGGTGAATCGCTATAGAGTTTGCTTCTCGATAGTCATAAAGGAATAGAACTGCTTTATCAAAATCAACATGAATTTGTCAGAATACCAAGGCAGTAATGCATTACCTTTCTATATATTCGGCATTTAAATTTTCATCTCTTAATACTAAAATTTCCAGAACGTAATTGCGTATCTCTATGACAACGTTATTCCACAACGTAACAACAACGTTGCAAATTAACGTTGTGATAACGTTGTGCTTTGGACATTACAACACTTTTTGCAAATGATGTTTAGGAAACCACTTGTAGATCTACCATCTCTTAGTTTCATTTTTTTTAAACATATATATCTATAACGATGTTATCTGTCTACTAAATGTTGTCACAAGCAATATTACAGTTAAAAACAATTGCGCCCATTTTTAGCCGCGTGAGAGCGACTGCTGAAAAGTTTAGCCTGTTGCCTCGTGAAGTGACGTCAGAATGACGTCACATTGTCGCGGAAGATTTGTTGTCACCAGCCATCTTAGTTCAAGCTCACTCTAGACATATTAGAAGTCTACAACCAAGAGATTGTGCAGCAACTGGAACTGGACAGATGATCTGTGAATTCGGATGAGGTAAGTTAATTTTTCAGAAGCAGCCTCTGCTTGTTGATATGTTTCTGTACATGCAGATCGTCAAATGATTTAAATGTATCGTATTATTCAGCGGTGGCAGGGTTTAGAATGCAGTTTGCCGGTCACTTTCACTGAGCGTCAGTGTTGATATTAATATTTGATACACAGAACATAATGTATATAGAGGTGAAGGAGGCCCAAGACTTTTTTTCCATATTATTATTTTATGGATACCAAGGGTAATTACCAAGGGCAAGCAGTATATGTTTGACCAGAATTGAGTCTGGCGGCGTTTTGTGGCCGTCATATTATGTTCGGGTTTCGATCGTAAACGTGTAGGTCTGTAAATAGGCCTAACTTATGCATCGCCTACTGACCACTGACAGTTATCGCCATTTCTTCCGTGTTATTTCGGAAATCATTACCATTCAAAGTTTACTTGTACTAATCTTCGGACTTTGATTTTTGTGAAACAATGTGGCTCATTCAGGCCATGGGAAAGGTTTGGTAGATTTCTCTTATACAGCGAAGAGAGGGAATCAAAACAATGGAAGTATTTTCAGATCGACTCTCTGTAGGCTACTAGTTATAGCCTTAGTCTTAATGCGCTCAATGATGTTATGAAAAAATTGTATTTTCGGGAAGAGATAGAAACATACTTGCTGTTTCCAAAAAGGCCTAATTAGCACTGACTGAAGTAGCCTAAATGTGGACCATCAGGTTGTTGGTGCTGTCTATACATTTTATTTTAGCAAGGCTCTTATCATGGTGTATTTTTATTATTTCCAAAAAAGAATCAATTCATCATTTTCCGATAACTAGATCTATGTCCGACTCCCTTCTAATGAAAACGAGCAAAGTAAAACGAGTCTCTCGTCGCGCGCTATAACGGGGTGTTTGCAGTATTTTCATTTTGGTGATGATAAGCTAGTCGATAGTCAAAAGTTAAATATCACCATATATTGTCAGTGAGTTGGTCATCGTTTGTTGATTATTAAGGTGAGATAGGTGTAGCCAATGTGCACCAATTGATAGCAACCCTATTCGTTCGGTCTCGATCTCCATATGTTGCCACGTAGGCTACCATACTAGGTCTACAGAATTATATTTAACGATATTGAACTGTATTATTATGTTAATAAACGTAGTAACAAATAAATTTCAATAATTATTTACAGAGCTGTTTCAACTTCGTCTGGTATTGTATAAGCTATTGCATTTTGTTAATTTTCCCATGTTTCTATCTTTGTAAATATTAGAACATAGATTCTATATAAATATCCTGGCATATTAATGTTAGTATTAAAAAAAATAATCACAATTTTAATTAGGATAAATACCCCAAAGTGTTAACACTTCTATTCATAATTCATATTCAACATTCATGCTTCAAATATGGGAACTATTTATTTTATTTGGCAATATATATTTTTCATTTATGTATATATTTTTCAAATAAGGTTTTAGAAACTTGGCCAACATATTCACTTGAATCACTAGTTTGTGATGTACAGCAGAAAGGTAAAGTTACTGCTTTTGAATAACTACAGTTGACTGATATTGACTGATAAAACTATTTGCCAATACTACCACCAGTTACATCATAATCTAAGCAAATGTGATTTATCTATACAGTGCTGGTTTATTTAAAAATGTGATACGTTGTGGTTTCTGTTTTTCTTTCAGGTGGAGAAAACAGTATTGTGGGAGCATATTTGTTTAAAGTACATCACTGACAGAAAGGTATGTATGATGCAATAATATATACAAACATCTTCAAGAATTAAAATTTAGATGATTCTTATTTAATTATACCCACAATCTAAAAGGGCGGGGGTATAAAGTTACACCAATGATTCAGTGCTAAAAGCCTTTTTGCCTATGTATGATCCAAGAGCATCATGGTATTACTGTCTTCGCACTTTCAGCAGTTTTTAACTGTTTAAAGACATCAAAATATTATTTTTGGGAATGCAACCATTATTTTGTTATGTCAGAAATGTCCCTTGCCTTGCCATTTTATAATATTTGTGTCATTTTTTATTCAGGTACCAAGGCTTAAGGAGAGACTATGGATACAGTTGAAGATCATCCCTGTGACTTTTCATTTGAGGACTGAAAAGGCTCCTCAGCCACTCAGCCCAAGTTCTGACTTGTCATTTAATAAATAAAAAAAGGTCACCTCAACCAGAATTCTATTGTCATTTCGTTGCTGGGAAATGGATCTTAGGACAACAGATGCATAGACTATTCTGTTTGTCACAGTGTTGCTCTCAATGCTGAATGTATGGGGTAAGGCCAAGAAAATTTATAAATGTTTCAATTTGTGCAGGGCTTATTGTTTGATGGTTTTTAATTTGCATATTCGTGGGAAAATCAAATATCTTCGAATTGTGTTGAAACATTTGTGAACAATTTGCACATAGCCTTGAAAACTGTTTGGGAAAATAAATATTATATAACCAAATTGTACATGTAATTTAAAACATTTTGATTTTTATCTTGGCCGTATTTCAAACTCTGCCAAAAGAGAGTGCATTTCATTGACTTGCTGTTTCACGGATAGGGTTAAAGTGAATTCAGTTTGCAGAATGTATTGCTTGGTACCTGATGTCTTAACTAGATTGGTACCTGATGTCTTAACTAGATTGGTACAAACTTTTCAGGCTGCCTGGGAGGTATTGAGGAATAAGACAGGCGTTAATCTACATGGACATTGCAACAACGTGCTTCAATGGCTGTAGTGTCGCCATATGTATGCGATACCTACGTTGTCGCGACGTTTTGGATAAACGTTGTAGCAACGTAAAAAATGGATGTTGTGACAACGTCTTGATTTGGTTGTATTTTGGTTTACGCACAACGTTGTAGCAACCAATCTGGGAGTCTATAGATTTACGTTGTGACAACGTAGAATTGTTTGCTGGGTAGCTATCTCTTTTACTGAATTTATCCAATATAATTTGTGTAAAATCTGTATACTTTCCATCAAGTTTCAAGTTACGAGGAGAAAATGTTCATAAAGGTAAACAACCAGGTCATGATTACTTGGTAAATGAGCTATAATTATTCCACGATAGTGCCTAAGGGAAACTGTTGGCTAAATACTGTTAGATTATCTCATCAGCCTCGCTAAACTTTAAACTGGCAACTTGAGTTCGATTATCCAGGTGGCGCAACAGAATATTCTAAAAAGTGAGTCAGGTAAAGTGCTACACTCCCATTCAAGTTCCAAATTCATGTTGCCATATTGAATACCAGATTCAATACATAAAATACATAACCTGCACCTTGGGATTGCGATAGCACTGGTCATGTTCAAGCCCCCTATGTTGGCATTGCCCCCCCAGCTAATCTACTATCAACAGGGGTAATCGCAAATATTGCACCGATTGCCAAAACCGAACCTAGCCCACAGAGAAAACAGAAATGCTAAGTAGATTTAATCTAAAGGGGGGTGGGGTTGAAATAGGGTTTAACGTTGTGCTCAAGATGATTGCAATTATATAGTGATGTGCATGCATGTGTGTGTGTAGCTGCTTGTAGTTTTACCGACTAATACTGATCTAATAGAGCTAGCCCACTGAGATACAAGCTGCAGTTTAACATGAATACCCCACTCAGACACAGTATGCTGATCCTTAATGCCAGGCAAGGTAACAATAAGTACCATTGTGTAACCTCTTTTAATATGACCCGGCCGGGGATCAGGGAGCCCAGGCGCTCTACCACTAGACATGGGAGGTGGTTTTAATCAGATCAAAACATGTTAAATATAAATAAATTAGCATCTACTCTGATTTACTGCATGTCAAACTGAACCTGTATTTGAGATGCATCACAGCATGCTGTCAGATCATAATTAACTATGTTAGTATTGATGTGTTGTATACGAGAAGACAGTCAGGAAACAGTTGCATGGTCCAGCGCTCCGAATCAAAGTTGCCAAAGCATAAATACTACTATAATTAGTCGTTATTATCTTGAGAATAAATATAATTTGCCGTTTATACTTGACCTTTAGCAGTCTTTTTTTGCAAAAACGGTCCTGTTCTAGCCTGCGCACACAACAGGCATACAGACGCTATACAAGCAATTAATATGTTTGCAAAATTCCACTATCTGTTGTGGGAGTGTAAAAAACTTCGAGCTCAGATTAGCCATTGATGACAACCCTTGATATCATAATTTGAAGAGAATAATAAATCGTCTGCAATTTGGGTTAATGAATAGTCTTGGGTAGGAAGCGCTTGAAGAGTCGTGTTTATCCTCCATACATACTTGCTAACAGCGCATGCATATGTTGTGGTAAATTACTAATCAAGGCTACTACATGCCAGTGTGAAATAAATGCGCCACTGTTCCATTCACTACCATCATTACGTAATGTGAACCTCAGCAATGAATATCTGTACAACGCTCTTTCCTAGAACGCATGGGTCGGTTTCTTGGACCCCGATGACAGCGGTATATCGAGGGATCACTGTATCAACTTGCAAAAACCTGCCCCAGTGTTATGTATCACAATAGCAGTGACAGACATCAGTCATGCACTCACTGTCAGATGACGATATCTATCGCTCACATTGAACCTGAACATGCTATATCATTATCAGCTTCATTTCGTAATCGTTATCTATAATCTAGGCCTAATGACATTAGACTAAATGAAGCGACCTACTCCTTGCGTCGATCTCTCGTTACGACTGAATGACATCACTCTCTCTCTAAGCTTCCAGGATGATGACTTATGACTCATGTTTAATTTCTAAAACAAAAACATATCAGAAAGAGATTCAGATTAGGAATTTGTAATAGACAAAATGTCAAACGTCAAAGTGTTCAGTCTGGCCAAATAAAGCGCTAGATGTTTGGGAAAATGTTGACAACGCCTGAAAACAAATGTAAGTTCATTAATGAATGGAGTCGGAATACATGATAATGAATGGTTTTACCTTATCAAGGAGGAATGACACTCTAACTTAAATTGCGATGCGTCAAACGACGACCCTTGTTTTGATATCCTGTTAGCAAACAGCGCATGTGCGGGGATAACATCCGGTTCTCTCAAACTGGTTCCCGGCTCCCTATGCGCGTCGTCAACTTGTATACTATTTATTTAAAGACAGAACCCAGACGCAAAACAAAACTGCCCAACTCCAAAATGGACACGATATTATCAATCCAAACGACCTAGAAAATGATTTGTCAAGACAGGACATATTTTTGTCAAATGAGGGATGTTTTTGTCGGATGGAAAATATAACAGATGTTGTTTCTAATATGAGGTATTATAAAAAACAAAAAACAAAAACAACAACAAATGTACTGTAATATGAAACGGATACCCGTAGTCTCACGATTATCGGTGAAATTATCCTCATGGTCAATACCCGTGAATTTCCGGCGTAGAATAGGTCTCTAGCAACCCATCCTTGCCATAAAAGGCGACTATGCTTGTCGTAAGAGGCTTATAACAGGATCGGGTGGTCAGGGCTCACTGATTTGGTTGATGCATGTCATCGTATCCCAATTGCGTGAATGGATGCTCATGATGTCAATCACTGGATGGTCTGGTCTAGACTCGATTATTTACAGACCGCCTTCATATAGCTTGAATATTGCTGAGTGCGGCGCTAAACAACAAACAAACAAAAATCCTAAGGGTCCGTTTATAGCCAGGGAATGAATAGTATACACATAGCGGTGGTAATTAGCATATGCACTCATGTCATTTTGCCAGGATGAAATGGAGAATTGATGGCATCAGGTTGGTACATGTAACTCGCAAATCTGTAACGACCCGTGAAGATCCGGGCTAGAACGTCAGCAACCCATGCTTGTCGTAAGAGACGACTAACGGGATCGGGTGGTCAGGCTCGCTGACGTGGTTGATGCATGTCATCATATCCCAATTGCGTGGATCGATGTTCATGATGTCAGTCACTGGGTTGTCTGGTCCTGGCTCGAGTATTTACTGACCGCGCCGTCATTTAGTTGAATCGCAGCAAACACAATCATACCTACTGTTGGTCCAATGTTGGAAGATGATATTGTTCCAAAGTACTTTTTCCACAGAGTTTTCAAGTTGGTCCAATGTCGGCAACATGACTTTAGTCCCACATTGTACCAACATGAGGTCAGTGTTTTCCAGTGTATTAATAGGGGTGGTATTCTGGGTGCAGATTGATTGTTTGATGATTGGTGCAGATTGGGTATATTGTGTGGGTACACTGGTTAATGATATTCGCTGTGTTGGCGTTGCCCTTTTGCATCTTAGGGGGATATTATCTCTTAAATGCATCATTAAACCCATGAAATTCATGACTGCAGCTGTATTAAATTTAGTTATTATTCTTCATCTATATTTTGAATCACAATATTCGTTATATTTGCAAGTTAAGTAAATTAGAGTGATAATTTATGTGCACATCATACGTGTCATATATCGGTTCCACGTCCATGGCACAGAATTGTTCCCTTTTGTCTTTAGGTTTCTTGCTTTCAGCTTCTGCATCTGCATTTTGGATTTAATTACATAAATTTTATTATATTAATGAACTCTTTGCCGTTGATCTGTTTCGAAATACCCTAACAGTAGCATCAATTGATGTTGGATAATGATTTAATTCCAGGTGATGTGAATAATGATAAAATATTGTTGAAAATACTCACATCAATAAACATTTCAGATACATTAAACTCAGGATTATTTGAGGAATGCCTTTAATGTGACAAGTTGCATAAATCAAATTGATAGCTTCTATACATGCATTGATGTCTGTAATAATAACATTTGTTAATGACATACATACTTGTGGATTACAAAGATTCCGAGTTTCGATAAACATTAAAATGTCTTGCAACTTTATTTTGAGCCATTCCTGTTAGCAGCATACCCACGACGCGTAGACGTTGACATTCATCAATTCGTTGTATTGCGTATTGCGTTTTAATGAGCACCTCATAGCTTAACGATCCTTGTGTGCTGTTCACATTAAAAACAACACGTGTATGAGTAGCATGCTACCACCAAAGACGCAAACATCCAAATGAGATTTCTCCATAAAAAAAGTTTCAAAGATGCACTATTTATTTTCAGTATAAATTTATTTCTATTGAACTTTATATGAAACAGAATAACGTTTTTCGAGTGGAATATCAGGTTTATCTCATCAAGCGTAGCCACTCGTGGAAATATCTCCTTTTCCCCCGTCACGAGATGAGAGAAACATGATATTTCACGAGACACATGGACTATCCTATTTAGTATATACCTTTTGTGTAGTTTTCTGTCGGAAAACTAAATTATTTCATTACAAATTTATAACCTTGAAACGAAAGTTGTCCCTATCTAACACACAGTGGAGGTTCTCCACCCTGTGTATTTGCGGCTGAAAAGTAGTTTCCTGTTTGCAATATCTTAAAAATATTCTTGAAAACTACGAGACTGCTGTTGGAAGCGAATGAATACACGTTGGTGAAGTAACGAAAATGGCGGTTTCTCGATTGGGTTAAATGACGAAACAATTTCAAGAGAATAACAAACAGCATGAATCTATATTAACTCCATAAATGATATATATTTTTAAAATATATTTTGCCTTGTCAATGTGAGACACTAACGATAAAATTTGAGGGGAAGTAACTCTTGTAAGACAATAGTTCCGTTAAAGCACAGCAGTGAAATATCAATTGTTATGTTCACTGCAATGAAAATATCCCATTTCTCAACTTCGGAAAGCTCAGTTGTTCACACTGCAGTATATTAAAAATGTATACATGTACATATCTTTCTATGTATTGTAAACAGTATGAAGTGGTCATAGTAATCAATTATACCTATTTAATATTGCTTTATGTAAATCCATATTGTATGAAACATACAATTATGATTATTTTATATCAGTCTGGCCCAGACTCGACTATTCACAGACAGCCGTCGTATAGATGGAATATAGCTGAGTGCGCGTTAAACAACACACAACACATCAACAGTGTCTCTGAAAGCGTGACCCTAAGAAGATGATCATAAATAGGTGTCCACATGGACATTTTTCTTCAATAGAGAATTGCTTCCCAACTTAATGTGATATGGCGAGAGGATAAGTACAAATTTTCCCACTGAATGTTCTATAATTAAGAAAAACTTTGTAAGATTGATATGACATGTTCAAATGATTGACAACTATGGTTCCTACTCTTACAGTTTTGATTTCTGTCGTGATAAAGTACACACCAGGATATATGGCCAAAAGAAGTGAATATAGGGATGTTCCGAATGTCAAGGGTAAATCAGTTATAAACAAGTCGCAAGGCACGGGGCATATAGAATTAATCCACTTGGGACAGATAATCCGTAATCTCTCCTTGCTCCTTTCTAAATCATCACACCCTAAAAAAATCGACTTTGGTCAAAAACTGGTTACAAATCAGCCTTCTTGACATCCTTTAGCCTCACCTTTTCTTCAAATCCATGAGATTGCTATAATGACCACAGTCTGATGCTGATTCAAATGTACGCATAGCGTATCTTCACTACGATTCTGAAAGTTCAACCCGTGAAAATCCGGGGTAGAATATGTCATCAGCAACCCATGATGTAAAAGGTGACCATGCTTGTTGTAAGAGGCGACTAACGGGATCGGGTGGTCAGGCTCGCTGAATTGGTTGATGTATGTCATCGTACCCCAATTGCGCGGATGGATGCTCATGATGTCAATCACTGGATTGTCAGGTCCAGACTCGATTATTTGCAGACCGCCGCCATATAGCTGGGATATTGCTGAGAGCGGCGTTAAACAACAAACAGAGAAAGAAAGTTCAGATCTTTCCTTTTTCAGTGGAGATACCCCGGCCACAAAAATACACATGCCATGTCATTTAGTTTCCAGAACTATGTGGAACACGAAAAGAAACTAGACACTCACTGCTGTGTCTGCTGTAAGGTTGAACTCTCTGGCATGAATCATTCACACTCACTCACATTGAATACAGAATCAAACCGCGGGATAGAGGCCTGGTTATTAAAGACTATTAATCGGAAACCAGGACATTATTCATTTGATTGCCTTGGATTGCACTGAGATAAAATAACATTGTGATAGATTTTCAGGAAAATCTGCAGCACAAATCATTGTATTTTTTAATAAATACGATGTTTAAATGCGTCTGTGAGCTGGTGACTGTCAGTATTGAAAATAGCGTTTGGCATGGGGACTGCAATCGACACAATGTCCGCGCCCAGGGAAACAAACCAAGACTTAGTGAAAAAGAGACCTATTGCTGATTTCTGTAAAAAAAAACCTCCTTTGTCAAGTCCGATTGTTTCTTGTGTTGTCAGAATCAAGTGTTTAATACTCGGTCGGCCAGAATGATTGATGTTACGTTAACTGATACAGTGTTAAGTGTTATGTTTTGCTTTGACATTCAATGTAACGCTTATGTCTGTTCTGTGCTTGTTGTTGGAAACCAATACTATTGATGCTGAACAGAACATGATTCATTCATGCAATGCACCTCAATCCATGAACTTAATTTGTCATATACTTTTTATACAGATCTCGAAGCCTTGACAACACCGAGTAATTTTTTGCCTTTATTGAGGTAGCAATACACTTTCATATTCAACCATCTCAACAGCTGAAACAATTCAAACTATCCTGCATAAAATCCTGACACGGTCGCATCACCGCGGAGCTGAAGAGAGGGAGTGCATCCCCTCAATCAATCTTGGACGGTGAAAGAATTGTGGAAATTTCGTTTTTTCTTGACAAATAACATGTTTATCTCATGTTGTTACCATGTTGTTTATCTCATGTCACAAGGGACCGACCTTTTCATATCCGGGTTGGGGATTGGCGGGATATTTTGTACCGTAATCAGATATTGTTTCAACTACAAAACCCGATTTTTAAAAAATTAAATTTAAAACTATGAGCCTGCATTTTGTTTTAAGAAAAACACCTCTCGATAATTTAATGTTTATGGCAATTTCGTTTTTTAAACAGACTGAGACATAATCACTTTTTCACGAATTTTCCGTGAAAATTGATTTTTTGCGACTAAATACCAGGTAAGTCCCTAGGTTGAGTTGATAACGGATAATAAGTCCTTCGATTCTGCGCCGGGTTCCAGTAACAAAGTGAATGCTTATAGTTTTGTTTCACACTAAGCAGACATTCGAAAGTAATAAAAGTCACATAATTGCCCTTGTAATCTTTGAGGGATAAGTCCTCTCGAAGTGTTTCTGATTATTACATATAGCTCTCACGTAACCTGCCACTGATTAATATTTGTATCAACAAGATGATACGTTACCAACAAATACATACACCCTGGCGTTAACCTATCACTAATCATTTTAAGTATTGTAAGGTTAACATGCTTCTGGTTATTATCTGCCCCATCGTCAATACTTTGTACACACTCCTCCATTAACCCAGGATACATACGGATGAAATGCGATGTAACTGTGACACGTATATTAGTTAAATCAAATGAAGCCGTGTTTTACTGATGGAAGTCAAATGAGCTCAACTCTATGCAAATTATTTTGCGAACCCTACCTTTGTCTGACACTGCCTGGTTAAAATTGCGACTGTAAAGCAACCGTATGTATCAGGGATGATCGAGTGACGTATGCATACACAACCGATATATCGACGATGGTTTGACGATTTCTGACTTATACCTGTGTACTGGAGTCAACATTGGAATCTACTCTACTGTATAACAGTTCTTCACGTGTTACACATGTCCTGCAATGCCTGTGTCTTAGACCTTCATCACTTCGTGGGGCGTCCACTGGACATAAGAAGTTTCCACACTGACGTATGTCCGCGTCGTTTTGCTATCATGGGTGCCGTTTCCCAATCACTATTCCTGTCGGTGATGTGTACCACATCCTGAGAGAGGACATACTTAACTATCGCCAAATCGCCTCCATGACAGGCAACATGAAGGATGTTGTTACCGCCATCTTTCACTGCACTCAGGTCAGCACCTGCCTGCAATAGCATTTCAAAGATGGCGCCACGACCCCACCCGGCTGCCCATAACAGAGCTGTCCTCCCGCCCTGGCCTCTACTGTTAATGTCAACAGTATTCTTCGCCAGGACAGTCTTGACGATTTCCACATGTCCTACACGACACGCATGATGGAGGCTGTTGTTACCGTCATCAGCCGTCAGTGACAGGTCAGCTCCTTCATCTACAAGTAAGAGGAGCACTTTGTTATGTCCTTGTCGTGCTGCAGCCATCGCTGGGGTCTGTCCTCCTCGCCCTCTACAGTTGATGTCCATAAGTCCATCAGATAGGGTGTCCTTAACCTGCTGCAGGTCCCCAAGTCTGCAGGCGTCATGGAGAGCGGTGTCGAGGCGTTTATCAGGAGAGGGTTGTTGGGTTGCTGTCACAGAAGCATCATCATCATCATCATCATCATCAAATCATCAAATCATCATCATCATCATCATCAACAAATCATCATCATCATCATCATCATCGTCATATTCATCATCATCATCATCATCATCATTGTGCATCTTGATATTTAATGTTTCTAACTGATGGCATTTCTTCCCAACAGTGATTAAAGGAACTGTTTTGTTTTACGCCGCACTCAGAAATATTTCAGCTATATGACGGCGGTCCGTAAATAATCGAGACTGGACCAGACAATCCAATTGATATCGTGAACATCGATCCACGCAGTTGTAGCTGAAGTAAACCTGATTAACAGGTATTTCTCATTGTACCAAATTTATTAAACGTAACGAAACTGGTAAGATAGCACGCTCAGGTTCATATCTAATGGTGTTTCTAGTCTTTTACTGTTTTACCTCGATCAGGGGTCTCTAATGTCTCACTGACGTCAACGTCAACATCATCGTCATCGGCAGCATGTAACAGGTCACTTAAAACTGAAGAAGAGTACATGTCTTTACATGAGTTAATATAAAGAAGGAGCTATGTGAAGCTGCAGCTCATAACATGCCTCACTGCAGTGGGCTCTGTACTTTATTCAACAAAGACCAGAAAGGACGGTGGTTCGATCCCTGGTCGTGTCATACCAAAACACGTTAAATTATGGTACTTAGTGTTGCCCTGCCTGGCTCCCGGCATTAACAAAGACCGAAAAGGACGGTGGTTCGATCCCTGGTCGTGTCATACCAAAACACTTTAAAATATGGTACTTATTGTATCCCTGCCTGGTTCTCGGCATTAACAAAGACCGAAAAGGACGGTGGTTCGATCCCCTGGTCGCGTCATACCAAAACACTTTAAAATATGGTACTTACTGTTGCCCTGCCTGGTTCTCGGCATTAACGGGATAAAATAAAGATGGGACGGTGTTGTAAACTGAATCCGAGGGGTTTCAATGTTAAATTGTGGAATGGTATATCTTTGACTTGTACTGTAAAAATGGACTTGACGGCTGCATCCAGTCAAACATGCACGTTACTATAGGCGAGAAATACTCTTGGACACGAGGTTAAAACAAATTGAACCACACGTCACCTTTGCTTTACTTTACCTTGCTCGATATATTCCTGTCGTTTCTTCTCTTGTAACTGATCCTCAATTTCACTGTGACCATCAGCTTCCCCCGTAGTCTCACTGTCTGGTGGCCCCTTCTCCTCCCCAGCATCTTCAGCTGTAACTTGCTTTTCACATTCTTGTCCAGGACTCGTGTTAGGTATTTCCCTGTCACTTAGTAGATCCCCATCTTCACCATGTTGACATAATTCTGGTGTGATCTCAGCCCCCTGTGGTTTTCCCACCTTTGATGGGTCTTCACCTTCAGCATGCTGACCGAGTTCCTGTGTTGTGTCAGTCCCCCGCGGCGTGGTCTCATTCTCGTCCGATGTGGTCTCCTCCGTCGATATGGTCTCATTATCTCGCGGTGTGTTCTCATTACCCTGCAGTGTTGTTTTAATCTCCTGTGGTGTGATCTCATTCTTTGGTGGAATAGTCTCATTCTCCCGCGATGTGTTCTCATTCACCTGCCGTGTGTTCTCATTCTCCTGCCATGTGTTCTCATTCTCCTGCGATGTGTTCTCATTCTCCTGCCATGTGTTCTCATTCTCCTGCGATGTGTTCTCATTCTCCTGGGATGTGTTCTCATTCTCCTGCGATGTGTTCTCATTCTCCTGCCATGTGTTCTCATTCTCCTGCGATGTGGTCTCATTCTCCCGCGATGTGTTCTCATTCACCTGCCGTGTGTTCTCATTCTCCTGCCATGTGTTCTCATTCTCCTGTGGTGAGATCTCATTCCCCGGGGGCATGGTTTCATTCTCCCGCGATGTGGTCTCATTCTCCTGCAGCGTGGTCTCATTATCCTGTGGAGTGGTTCCAGTGCCCTCTGGTTCCTGATCAATCAACGAACAGTGTTGATCAAATTCCACTACTGCCCCAATGTCCCGTTGGTCCCTATTACTGACTGTGTCATCCACTGGGCCGTGCTGATCAAATCCCGATGTAGCCGCGCTATGATGCCGCTCACATGATGGAACATGCTTATCACATTCCCGTGTTCCAGTAATAAGTGGTTCCCTCTCCCGGGATCGGTCTTCATCCTGATTACATTCCTGTGAGGTCCAGGTGTCCGGTGAGTTCCTGTCCATTGACGGATCCTTACTTTCCTCAAACTGATCCAATTCCCGTGTAGTCCTATAAGCATGTGACTCCCTCTCATTCAGTTCATCTTCATGTTCATCCTGATCAGGTTCCAGTGTAGCCCTAGTGATCTGTGGTTCCTTCTCACTCAATGGAACCTCGCCATGTTGATCAAATTCCTGTGTCATCACGGTGTCTGGTAGTTCCTCCCTTGTCCCAATACCGTCACCTCCACTGTGTCTGACAGATTCCTGTTCCATCTCACTGTCAAGATGCTCATCATCATCGGGATCCTTCTCTTCCCTCAAAGCTGAAGCACAAAATAACCGTCACAATTAAGTTTACAATTCATATACACATGAACTTAATACACTACTCAAACCAATTTAAGGGGCAAACATTACTTTTACCAAAAAGTTCAGGCATAGAGACTAACAAACGCAGAAGATGCAAGATTCGGTAAACAATGTATAAATACTCCTGAATATTCATTTTAGTAAAAACAAATTCAAATTGCTTGGGTTTGACCTTGAATTGAGGTCAGCGTGATCAGAAGAGTGAGTTAGCATTGTTTTCCGCCACTTTTAGCGCTATCCCAGCATCCCAGCGGGGGATACCCGAAATGGGCGTGATCAGAAGACTGTGACATAACATACAATGTGACATACGGTAAGGTTGTATTACTCGGTGTCGTCATGCATGCCGCCTTTTGCTTGCACAGTTATGCAATTGGAGCGTTCAGTTGTGGGTCAGCGCCAGGTTCACAGCGGAATTCGTGACTTCACGATGGTTCTATGTGAGGAGGTAGTGAGGATGTCTTTTCGACATTTTTTGGCAAATTCCAGCAATTTCAAGCATGGACACCATAACTTGACGTTTTCGAGACGAGGGAACGCTTTAGCCACAACGCTACCTTAATTTTGCAACATGTTTGCTGTCATAGGCACATTCAGATCGATGTCAGATAAAATAAAGGATAACTGTGCAGGCTCGTATCATTCATCTTATTTCAACAGACAGTGACCTGGGTGGAGCGGGGGCACGGGTGGCCCGGTCGTCTAAGGCGCCGAGATTCGTTGTGCAGAGTTGCGTCCCTTGGGCACGCCAGAAACATATGATTGTGGGTTCGAATCCAGGTTCGCCCCGATTATGTTTCTAGGTTTGTCAGCACCATACCCGTGCTCGTGGATTTCACCGAAGTTGTTAACGTCTGAGACCTGCATCACTTCGGGCTTTCCTCCCACATTAAGCTGACACGCCGTGATATAACCGGCATACTGTTAAAAGCAGCGTTAAACCCATCCCCCTCACTCACTCACCTTGGTGGAGTGTATTTCCAAACCCGACATCAGCCTATTCTAACATACATCTGAGCATCCAAGTTTATATATGCCCACAAGTGTGCACGTGCACCTTACCAGCCACTTCAGCTTCTGGCGCTGCTGTGTTCTTGCCTCCCCCAACATCGCATGTTGTACGTGACGCTGGTTCTGGTTTGGTGTCGTGACTAGCACTTCCACCGCCTTTGTCAGCCCCTTTGTCACCGCCTTTGTCACCGGTTGCTGTAGGATGATAATAATTTACTACCGTTGGCCCTGGTTCATGTGAATCATTTAAATGCCCTCTTTTAATCGGTTGGGCTGTATATATGTAGAGTGATGTATTCGGGTGAGATATAAAATAATTTGAAAATGTGTCCTTTTTAAAGGTAAAATGGCTACTATTATTATTATTATTATTATTATTATTATTATAGTCTTCTTATTATTATCATTATTATTGTCATTCATCAGCTGTAACAGGTAAACAAGTATTGAGTGTATGCGTTTGAATAATTTGAAGTCAGAAGGATCTGTGCTACACTAGACGTACATACCCTCCGAGCTATGGATCTGCTCACTTGGTGGTGGTGGTGTTTTAGTGTATACATCCCCATCCTCATCCTTTGCGGTCCACAGACAGCACGGGAGGAACAACGATCCTGCCATATCTCACACAGGTGAACTTTCCTGAAAGTGACCTCTGATAAATTATGTTACTTGGCGCAATCATAATACGCTTGACACATTCACACAATTGGATGAGTGAGTGAGTGAGTGAGTGAGTGAGTGAGTGATGTTTTTTTGCAGTTATATAACGACGTGTCAGTTTTATATAGGGTTACAATCCGCAAAGACGAAGGATTTCAAGTTTAATTAACCCGTGAAGATAGAGGTTAGACTTGAACCTCAGCAACCATTGCTTGTCGCAAGAACCGACTAACGGGATCGGGTGGTCAGACTTGCCGACTTGGTTGATGCATATCATCGTAACCCTGCTGGGTAGACCGATGCTCACGATGTCAATCACTTGATTGTCTGGTTCTGACTCTTATTACAGACTGGCGTCATATACTGAAAATTGTGTAAAGTAAACAACGTGTGAAGCTATTATTGCTGACGTGATATTTTATGAGTCGGCGTCATTATTAACAGTCATTATGACTTTACTGAGACCATAAGTCACATCGCTTTAAAAGAGGTATTGAATTCAGTTATTCTTTGAAAACATTCCACGTAAACAACGTTAGGTCTGATAGAGACAGATATAGTATGTCTACATGTCAACAGGATCCCACCAACCGTGTTATGCAGGCGAGGTATGTCCTTCAAACCACTTCCTCAATGAACGAACCGTCTACCTCCACCATTTTGTCAAATCCAGTGTTGGTAACACGTAGTCCTCGACAATGCTGCAATGTCTCACCAACTAAGCGGACGTTTCCAGATGAGTCCAGTGAATCAGAAATATCTAAATACGTATAGTCACGTCAAAAAGTATGTGGTTACACCAAGGAAAAACCAAATACCCCAGATCTATCTTGGCAATGTCACCCGGTGGGATATTTATAAAGGGCTCTTCTTGTTTACTTAATTCACAACCGTGTTCCACCCAGCCCCGCTACGGTATTCAATAATAAGGCAGGCAGGTGGGTTTACGGCATTGTGAGCACTGACACTGCATGTTTCTCTGACCTATTTCATTTCAATAGCGGCACAAGACGCCTGCCTTTACAGCTGCACATCCGCATTCAGATTCACACAGTGTTACGCATGAGAGGTTTTAAAATACGCAGATCCAAATCTTCACAATTGATGAAAATTAGACGCTGGCTCTTCTAAGTTAAATATTTCAATTGCGATCATGACAAGCCCCGTCGATGATAAAATTGACCAGCTTCTTAAAATAAACATGACGCTGTCACAGGACTATGGACTATATTGCGTCTCATACCAGATATAACAAGTACCGACTCACGGCGACACAGTAAATATAGGAACTTGTTCGGCGGGTTAGTATATGCATTGATATAAGCAGCGTCTATAAATATTAAATCAATATTTGTATCGGTTATTTCACATGCACAGGTAGGATAGTTATGATAATGTTCATATGCTTTGCTTGCATGTTGTTTAACGCCGCACTCAGTAGTCTTCCTGCTTAACGACAGCCGCCCTTTGTGATCGAGTCTGGGCCACGATATACGTGGATCATGACAAGCATGGGTTGATAGGAGAGTAACGATATATTTCAGGGCATTATCATTTGCAGAAGCCCGAGGTCCTCCATTAATTGCCCGACAAAAAAAATAGCCTTACCGTTATTATAGATAAAATGTGTAAAATTTGTTATCAAATGATAAACAAAATAAACAACGCTATCTGTTTAGAAATATTGAATGAAATCAACACACAACGAATGTCACTGACCCACTTTTACAAATATGGAAACTTCATAGATGACGTCACTTTTGAACGTGACGTGACCTATACCTATCCCTATGACGTCAACCAACAACGGGCGTGATAATGGCCCGTCGTCAAGCAATATGAGGGCAAGGTTACAGTGGCCCGTTCATTTCTGACAACATGCGGGCGGTTTAGTGATGTGATGTCATACACCACACTACGTGGCCTAGAGACAATGTTATACACCACACCACGTGGCCTTGTGCCTCAATGATAAACGCCACACTACGTGGCCTAGAGACAATGATATACACCACTCCACGTGGCCTTGTGCCTCAATGATAAACGCCACACTACGTGGCCTAGAGACAATGACATACATCACATCACGTGGCCTTGTGCCTCACTGATAAACGCCACACTACGTGGCCTAGAGACAATGATATACACCACACCACGTAGCCTTGTGCCTCAATGATAAACGCCACACTACGTGGCCTAGAGACAATGATATACACCACACCACGTGGCCTTGTGCCTCAATGATAAACGCCACACTACGTGGCCTAGAGACAATGATATACACCACACCACGTGGCCTTGTGCCTCAATGATAAACGCCACACTACGTGGCCTAGAGACAATGATATACACCACACTGTGTGGCCTTGTGCCTCAATGATAAACGCCACACAACGTGGCCTAGAGATAATGATATACACCACACCACGTGGCCTTGTGCCTCAATGATATACGCATCACTACGTGGCCTAGAGACAATGATATACACCACACCACGTGGCCTTGTGCCTCAATGATAAACGCCACACTACGTGGCCCAGAGACAATGATATACACAACACCACGTGGCCTTGTGCCTCAATGATAAACGCCACACTACGTGGCCTAGAGACAATGATATACACCACACCACACCACGTGGCCTTGTGCCTCAATGATAAACACCACACTACGTGGCCTAGAGACAATGATTTACACCACACCACGTAGCCTTGTGCCTCAATGATAAACGCCACACTACGTGGCCTAGAGATAATGATATACACAACACCACGTGGCCTTGTGCCTCAATGATAAACGCCACACTACGTGGCCTAGAGACAATGATATACACCACACCACGTGGCCTTGTGCCTCAATGATAAACGCCACACTACGTGGCCTAGAGACAATGATATACACCACTCCATGTGGCCTTGTGCCTCAATGATAAACGCCACACTACGTGGCCTAGAGACAATGATATACACCACACCACGTGGCCTTGTGCCTCAATGATAAACGCCACACTACGTGGCCTAGAGACAATGATATACACCACACTGTGTGGCCTTGTGCCTCAATGATAAACGCCACACTACGTGGCCTAGAGACAATGATATACACCACAACACGTTGCCTTGTGCCTCAATGATAAACGCCACACTACATGGCCTAGAGACAATGATATACACCACACCACGTGGCCTTGTGCCTCAATGATAAACGCCACACTACGTGGCCCAGAGACAATGATATACACGGTCACCACGTGGCCTTGTGCCTCAATGATAAACGCCACACTACGTGGCCTAGAGACAATGATATACACCACACTGTGTGGCCTTGTGCCTCAATGATAAACGCCACACTACGTGGCCTAGCGACAATGATATACACCACATCACGTGGCCCAGAGACGATGGTATACACGGTCACCACACTGCAGGCCTTGACCTTTAATGTTATACACCACACTATGTGGTCTCGAGCCACAAGGATATACACCACACTATGTGGTCTCGAGCCACAAGGATATACACCACACTGCGTGGTCTCGAGCCACAAGGATATACACCACACATGTGGTCTCGAGACCCAAGGATATACACCACACTGCGTGGTCTCGAGCCACAAGGATATACACCACACTATGTGGTCTCGAGCCACAAGGATATACACCACACTATGTGGTCTCGAGCCACAAGGATATACACCACACTGCGTGGTCTTGAGCCACAATGATATACACCACACTGTGTGGCCTTGAGCCACTATGATATACAACACACTGTGTGGCCTTGAGCCACTATGATATACACGACATCCTCCCACATTTAGCTGACGCACCGTGATATAACTAACCCACTGTTCTAAACGGCGCTGAATCCAATTTATTCACTAACAAGATCGATGTTCTCACTGTCAATCTCTGGCTTGCCTGCTACGGGTCAAATGAGACGAGTCTACTTGAAGTTTGATTTAATGCTACATGTATATTGCTGCCTATCGCATGATACATTCAATCGACCATTGACATCAAACATGGTGCCATTGCAATATTATGTCTTTTAAGGTCACGATAATTGCCTTCGATGAATGTGCCTCCACAAGAAAGCACATTCTGAGGAGAAATGGAACGAGCTGAAGGACGACACATCTATCTGTAAGCTCCAATATAATACATGTTAAGTATTGTTTGGAGTACGCTGAAATAATATTTGCCTAATATACATTATTGTTTAACGCTGTTCTCACTAATAGTCATGCCATATGACGACGGACCATCTGGACCAGGCAATCCAGTGTTTATTGTTTGTTTATCAGGATATTTAGCAATATTCCATCTGTGTCTCGATCTGGAAATAATAGAATCTGGACCAGACATACTAGTGTTTAATATCACGAACAAAGACCCGCGCCATCGTGTACGAAGACACTCGAGGTCACTGAGGCTGTATAACGCCTATTACAACAGACACGTACGTGTTGATGGGTGTCAGTTCTAACCCAGAATCTCCACGAAGGCACTTTGTGCTACCAGCAAGTTTTAATTACAAAGCGGTGACACTAAGTGTCTATCAACCATTATGACAGTGAAGCACAGAAAGTACACGACATCACGCCGATATTAGTCATTTTCTGGAATTCGGTGAAACATACGGAGAACCGATACAACACTTCATAAGTTTCCTCCCGTGTGTCGCGTTATTATATGACGAAAGTCTTGCGAAGGAGCCGTAATGTTTACTGAAGATAGCGCAAACGTGCCTCCGCGTTCATTTAACGTTTAATCGCGAAAATGTCGCATTAATTTCTTCATAATACCATGATGGTGCCGAATTCGCGATGGAAAAATTTCGCAAAAGAGAGAAAGTTACTTATGAAAGGAGGTGTGGATTTACGTACAGTATAACGGATCTGCTGGGAACATCGTCGGGTTGTCCGTTTTATAACTGACCGTATTTGTCCCGATACAGACACTGACAGTAACCTTACATCTTCTCGAGTTGGGGTTTACTTGGTCCCCTTGCACTAGACGTCCTAGTGGAAAAGTAATGGTGTTCCACTAGTCTTAGCGCTAATATTGCTTTATGCATGTGGTTCCGAGTGATCGCGATAATTCAGATGCAGACCCATGGTGGTACGGATTAGAATAAAAGAAACAAAACCTTTTGCATGTTCAAAAGAAATCTCTGCTAAAAGCAGATTCGATTCCGAGTGCAAGACGACTTCATTGTTAACATGTGTTTCTACATCATTATCAAATAGTGATGATACCAGGTGGAAACAAAAAGAGGAGCGTATACTCCCCAACAGTGGCACCCTCCACAAACACACGCAAAGGCAAGTCAACTGTCAACCTGAAAAAAAGGGAACATATGATACAAGTTGAAATAGGGACTTGCATCGGACATCGTTGATGAGTTAAATTGGGAAATGGCTTTAACATGTCAAGCATAAAAGGTTTTGAAAGCTGTACTGGGGCATTGCATGTTGCAACCTTGATGAAACAACTTCTTAGTAAGAGTCGTATGACGCTTTTTGAAATCTTGGAAGAAAGAGCAGGCTCGATTGTACCTTAAATGTTGTGAAATGTAAACCTTGGAGCTGCTGAAATATTGCTCAACATGAAGGGAAAGTAGACTTGTGGAACGATGAAGTCACCCCCTTTTTCATACTGTGTTGTGGAGAGAGTTCTCTGAATCTCAGCTGCTTCGCGTTTGAGACGACACATTGGGACCCACGGTCAGACATGGTGACTTGTGTGGATGGATGCTCATGATGTCAGTCACTGGATTGTCTGGTTCACACACCAGAAAACTATAATATAAAGATGAATGTTGCTTGGGGCGGGGGTTTAACAAAAAACAAAATACACAGAGTTGTATGGATGTAGAATGAAGTTTCATAAAATCTACAGTAAATGATGTTTCAATATATGACAAGCGAACACAACAACATACTAGTATTTTAGAGGACAAGAAATATTATAATGTTAGAATAAGGCTTCGTTCATTGTCATCTTAAGTTTGTTTTGCCTAATACATACAACAGCGATACAGAATTACCGTTGACGCTGAAATAAGCGTTTAAGAAATATGACAATGATATGTGTGAAATGATTTTCTTTCATTTGTCTGCGTTTGTAGGAGAAACGAAACATTGCTGTGGTTGGACAGGATGATTGTTT